TTTTTAATACAGTTACAGATGGTTAGTGAGTACCCAGCTTCAAGATGTACTCTAACCGCAATATCTCGACCGACTAAATTGTTTAGACTGATATACTTAGGCACGTGACTACAAATTAGGTCTGCATAAACATTTCAATTATCGCTTTGCGATTTCAATACACAGTCTGTCGATTTTGGACGAACGCCAGTGGGACTTGGGACATGGTCAAACATCTAATAAACGCGGAGATAGTACGCATTTTAATGGCTGTAGTGCTATTATTGTGTGATTCAATTTGAGCAAGTTTAAATAACGTTCGATGTTTGAAAGTTAACGAATTTTAGCTGACGAATATACAAAAACATTCGCCTGCAGTATTCGTCGTTAGTAGAGATAGGCACTAGTGTACCGTTGAATTATTTATTTAATTAAACATTTTGAAAATATAATGTCTTTGTGTTTCGGATATATGTTTTATTTAGCAATATAGGACGAGAGTTCCTAGGTTTACACTCCGTAAAAAGCACAAAAAAAAATAATAACACAACAATTTTTTTTCGATATACATAGCTCTCTTTGTTTGTTTATTTTGAGTGCGCTAATATCTCTTCGATTCTTTTCATATTGGTTCTTTTCATATCGAGCTGCGATTAATAAGAGCGTAGAAGCAGTGGAAAATGTAAAAAAAAAAAAACGGGCAAAGCATTCTTCGTTGTGTGTTTCCTTTGCGCACGCTGCGAAAACGGTTTAAGATACCCAAAAAACATGTACAAAAGAATGATTCCTCTTTAAATAACAGGTTAACGACGTCTTGGGTAACAACTTAAATCTATAGACTTGAACAGGTTTGCAGGAACAAATGGTATGCCCAAAATGCTGACACAACTAGTATTTGCATAAAAGGCTGATCTTTGATGAAACCGTATCTCAGTGAAATAACAAAACTAAAACAGCTGTATCGCCATAAATTAACGGACGATTAAACATAACCTAGTTATAGGTACAACTCAAACAAAGACGCTGAATTATGCTTACTAATTGTAACTTTATTCGTTGTATATTCAAGGTAACTGCTTTAATAACTCAAAGTTATTTAATATGGAAATTGGGTGGCACAAAAGTTTTCCTTTTGATGACTAATATAGGCAAGGTTCTCTTCGTCGATTTTCCTATTTAGTATTTATACATTTTGTTAAAAGAGTATTAAAAACTGCAATTCTAATTGTGTCATTTTTCACTTTGAATATATTTAAGTACGTCGAACGTCTAAACCTTACATACGAGAGGTCCTGACATCGAATCGCGGGAAAATGACAAAGACATATCAGTCTAATCAACTACTGACCGTAAATAAATCGATTAGTAGAAACGGACGAAAGTGTTCGCCCCATGCCCCACACATTTAAAATTTCACGTTGTTCATTATTCTAATAAATGTTTTGTAATATTAAAAATGTAATAAATTGCTTTGTAATAGCAAATTATTTTATTGATTTCAGTATAATTGTAACAAACGCATTAATAACGCAGTAATAACTACTGAATCACCAAGAACTCATTTTTTAAAGAAATCGAAAGAAGAAATATATTACTACTTCTGCTGCTCTAGCCAATTAAGTGGCTGAGGGTGTCAGTTCAAGTCACGCTCGTGTCATCAATGTTTTTTAATTTCAATCAATGTTTATTTACTATATAATGCTATCATGTGTAACGACAAATAAAAAAACAATTGTACAAATTTTAGCCACTTCCACTAACTTTAATATTACTTAGATTTTGCGATCGACTGTACATACTAAGATCAGACATGTATTTTTTTTGAATTTACATAACACCTAAAATTCTCAGTGAATAATTAGCATCCGTTTAGTAACCCATCAATCTTCTTGACATGGTTGTTAGCGGTAATGTAGAACGATTTGACCGTAGGCAAGGCATCGACCGTGGGCTCAGAAACTAATCGGGACCGACCGCCTAGGGGAACCCCCGCTATTCAAGGAGGTAAATTGGCTTCTTAGGAAATTGGCTTAAGATTCATTTGTACATTAACGTACCTAATCGTTGGTGCAGGATGTAATTTGATGGTCATGCATGTATTTGTGTAACAGGCGCCGTCTCATTAGTCGTATGTATTAAAAATTTCTGTCTATCCGTTGATAGGCCCAGTATTATCTACAAAAGTTTAGTCAAATGTGGTGTAAATTTGATTAAACTTTTGTCGAGAAGAGAAAAGAATCTATTGACTTACTTAAATATATATTAAGAAATTGTTATGATTTGCCTCAGTTATTAGGGGCAGTAATTCCTCATATTTCACGAAAATATCATATTTTCCTTCAAGGCCATTTAAATGTGTACATCTTGTATTATTAGTAACTTATAAGAATGAAGTATATCATAGTTTATTTAGGCATAAGAGTGAAATTATAATCTGTGGTTTTTAAGTTCGTTCGTGGCTCAATTATGGTGGTCAACTGTCAAAACTTTCCACAGATTATAACTCGATATCACACTGTTATGAAAAAAATAGAAGGGCAAATATTAAATATTTTTTAAACAAAAAATAATTACCTTTACTGATTTAAAACACTAATTAAAAGTTCAATTACTTTAAATTTATTTCTCCCCCCTGACTGCTGGAAAGCATCCGAAACGTCGGGGTTGTAGTTAGAGTAAATTAAATATAACTTGACAAATGTATTTGATATATTAAACCGTTGAAAGTGTTTTATTTAATTATTTATTTTACAATTAAAACGGCCGACCCCAATTATTTCTACAGTAATACGAATAATTTTACTTTTAGTTATATCACTTATCTAAAAATTCTTATAAAGCCTTTTAAGAGCGTAACTCTGTATACATAACTAGGATGGTGATGCTTATCCGTCGTAGGAAGTGGAGATAGGATTACAGAACAATGATGCATGGCGCCTCCGAAGATAATATTTGTTTAGGCCATGTGCAGATGGCATGACCCCATTTATTAGTATGTTTGGGATTACTGGAATGTATGGTATCTTACTGATGTGAACAACAACGTAACATCGTACACAGTATGTATATACAACATATTTAGTCTTCAGTATATCTATCTATGAACTAATTGGCATTGGTAAGATATACAAGCTGTATCAAGCGACTTCGTGCGCGTAGACAAGATATTTTGGGCATCCAAATTTGTTTTTGCAAACCTCCTCCCATCTTAATCTTCAATTTTAAGCTTTTACCCACGACATCGGCCACGTCCCAATGCTCGCGACCCATCGTTCAGATTCCGTCGTTATTGCACATAAATCTTAAAATATAGACATATAATATATACTGAGAAGAGGAATCATTCTTTAAATCATTCATCTACAGATATGTGTAATTTCCCCCGTTTTTTCCACATTTACCGCTGTTTTTTAGTTTCTATTAGTCACAACACACCAACACAAAAATAATTTTTCAATTCGAACCAGTAGTGCCTGAGATTAGCGTGTTTAAACAAACTCTTCAACTTTATATTTTAGTATAGATATGGTAGATATATTAGGAAAATATACTTACGTTAACGTACACAACATTAATGCAAAATTTTATCAAAATCAGTTTAGTAGTCCGTGTGACATAAAGATTCATTCATCCCTATAGGTGGATTGATTTTTTAGTAACGTCTTAGGTTTATTTTTCAAAGTAAACACATTGTAAATAAGCAAATCTAAAACAAAAGACAGCTGTAATATCAAAGTACTTATGCAATAAAAAAGCGTTTTGACAATTCGTCTAATTGTTAATTAAAATTGTTCAAACGACTGAAAATAATTTGATAACTAAAATTAATAATTACCATCTTCGCTTTCACTAATTGACAATTATTAGTAAAGCGTTTATTTACGATTTCATTAATACAATTTTTAAGTATTTTTTTTTTTTTTCTATCGGGGACACCCCTGGCAAGACGGGGGAACACCCCCCCCCCCCCCCCCCCCCCTTCCCCCCCCCCCCCCCCCCCAAAAATTTTGTCACCAAACCCCCCCCCCCCCCCCCCCCCCCCCCCCCCCGACTTTTAACACCTTTTTAAATACGAAGAATTTGTATGTACTTAATTTACGCTAGTAACACTTATTTAAATAATACACGTTTTTATAGTTTAAGCAGCGATGTTTAATAACTTAATTTTTAACTAACATAGTGTAAGAAAGTTTGCAAGAGCAGTGGCGACTTGGGTTTTTGAAACAGTTAAAAATCTGTTATATAGATTTTAATTAATAAATATATAGCCTTAATATATGTATATATATTTTAAATCAGTTATTCCATCCGGGTCACGAACCACCGTCCACAGATGAAGAAGCCGTCAAGCTTAACAGCGCTTCTGTTTCCATCTGTGTATTTCCGAATATCCAGAGCCTAAATAGATCGACAGCGCATTTTGTTGAGATGTTATATTGATGAAGTGTTAAACCTAGGATCATGGGAACCCTATCAGTCTTACTCAATCATAAAAAAACAGCATACAATTGACGACTTTAAATATTCCTTTAAAACTTCACATACAACTTTTATGTAAGCACTGAATAATATGAAGGAGATCTGCTCGAATAATATTTTCAATCTTTCAATCCAAACAGGGTATTTTCACATTCATAAATATTTCAATGCCGAAGTAACAATGGACTGGATGTTCAAAATATCTATATGCTATCTAGGAATGTGGTGGGTTATATTCCTCACCAACTTCCAAAAGTAATAGACAAAAAACTTTTTAACGGTTTAAAAATGTTTAAACATATTAGTTTTTTTAATAAAACACTTTAACGGTATAAAACGCGAAATATTAGTTAAACTTATTTGAAAATGATTTTTTGGAACTTCAGTCCCGAGTCTCGTGACCACCGCTTTGCTGCAATGCACTCAGAAACGTCGGGCCGACGTTTAAAATAATGTTTAAATAAGTTTAACTAATATATCGTGTTTTAAACCGTTAAAGTGTTTTATTTTCATTGTAGAATAAAGTTATTTTCGCTAATAAAATGGTTAAGCGGTAAATTGTAAATTTATTCACGAGGGTTCCCTCTTTATATTTAGTCTTGTATTCAAAAAGTGTTTATGATAATTGTTATTTTTACATTAATGAACATGATAGTTTAGTACAAGTAGTTGTTTGATTAAATACGATTTTAATAATATGAATTAACTTTCTTTATGCCTTTAACCAGACAAAACTCCACCTTCTTTTCTTCATTGCACACGAACGATACGATAACGATTAGCGCTAAGCCCACTTTGATACTCCGAAAGTGCATACAATACGCGGTACACTGAATCCTGGTTGTGAGAGCGAAATGAAGCGTTATTCAAAATTCTCTTATTGAATACGTCAATTCAAGCAACCGTTGGCTAACATTTTTGCAGATAAACATTGCTAGAATTTTGTGTTGAAATGTTTTCGTTCAACCTCATATGTCTACAAATTTTAGGACCTATAGAATATTTAAAACTGTTGAACGGTTTAAGACGGGAAATATACTACTTGTTCACTAATTGTTAGTTTAATCCCATTAAAAACATAAATTAAAAAAAGGGGTTTTGTTATTTTTAAAGTAGTACTTATAGGAAAAAAATATTATAATTTAGTAATAAACTCTATTTCTTTGCTTTATTAGATATGTATAATAATTGTTGTTATTAAAAAAATGTGAAATATTGAAGTAAATTAACTCACTTGCTTCATTTTGTTCAAGTCCTGTCAGTGTCGTAATTTTTTTTCAAACTTTAATGAATATTTAATTTAAATTTGCAACATGTAAAAACATTTAAATAAAACACTTTAATGGTTTAAAACACAATATATTAGTTACCCTTATTTGAAAATATTTTTTAACTTCGGCCGACGTTTTGGATGCTTTGCCGCAGCCGTGGTCACGGGGAATCTGCCCGTGACCATTGCTGATAAATCAAAAATCGGCTGATAATCATTTTAGAATTAGTTTAATCAACATATCGCGTTTTAGGCCGTTAAATAGTTTTAGTTAAATGTGTACTACTCGTGTAAACTATAGATAGACAGTAGTAAGGTCACTTTCTACCCCACTGGTGTACAAACAACAAAGCATTGCAGTTAATAACAATATATCTTTTACCGTTCCAGAGCCTCGTGTCCTTCATCACTCTTCCATACGTGGGAAACTTTTCTCCAAGAGATAGAAGCGGATGTTGTCGGCTTCAGTAATGCAGCAACATCGCTCGAGAGGTCGGTAGCTGTTCCGCTCGTGGAGAAGACCTTCCACATGAAAGTCCAGGCCAGGAAGCTGTTCGCGCATCGAGAAGGCTGCGAAGTTATATTGGGGAAGGCAGATGATCAACTTAATAAGGTACTTTAAAAATATTTAATAAGGTCAATATATTCCATACTAATATTATACAGATGAAGAGTTTGTTTGTTTGAACGCGCTAATATCAAGACTTCAGTTTTTTAGTTGGTGAGGCTATTTCTCGGGGATGCTTCAGGCTGTATAGAACAATAGGTTGCAACTAATAGGGGCGAAGAAATAGAGGTAAAAGTAGAAAAAAGGGGCAAATTATTCATTTTTAAGGGCTTTCGTTGCGTGTGATGTAAAAACGGTTCAAGAAATATGATTAAAATATTTATTCTTCTTTAAACGATCTAAAATACTCTTTTAAGTTTAACTCACAAAATGACGGCGCTGACGGCGTCGTAGGTAATAACTATAATTTTCCCCCAAACAAAGCTGAGGAAGTGGTTTACAATGCGGACAGAGTCGCGGGCACAGCTAATAAATAATCATTTTCCTGTTGTCGGATAGTTATAAAAAAGTATATTTAAGCATATAAAATGGAATGGATGTATATTATATAGGATTTAAGAGGATGATTACAATTATTAGAATGTTTTCCATTTCTATTAATGGGACCGACAGTCTCTTGGTAATTAAGTTTACAAAGGAGCACGTAAAAATAAACTTAGAAAGCAACTCCTCTTGCGGTAGTGGCCAGGTCATGTAAATGACGGATCTCTTTGAGGCAAGGATAAGGATTCCTTTACAATTTTACCTGCGCTGAGGTTTCTGTTACATTTTATATTTCGCGACCTCTTCCACAAAAGAGTCGAGTTTTAGAAAGCTAAGTAATTGCTTTGCGGTTTAACGTACAAATTGTGATGTCCCATTTCTAATATAGTTTAAATAACTTCGTTCCAGGTCCGCTAGGAGGCGTCATTGTAGTAAATGACAACTTCACTAGTAGTAATAATTTATGTATTTTAAATTTTTTCATAGTTAAAATGATCCGGCAAACATATGTACAAATGACTTGAGCTACCGAGTCCTACCGATCAATTTGTAGAGAAACACGGAACTCTGACGATGCCGGTTCAAGTCCTGCCCGAGTCGAAAGATTTTTCAATTCATTTTCGATTTTTAAAACACAGCTTTTTACTAGAGGTCGGACAAGCATGGGGTCTCTTAACGGTAGATGAAATCCAATTAAAAATGCGTTGTCGATTTTTGGCTTAGGATATTCGGATTCCACAACTTGAAACCGAAACGCGATTAAACGTAACGACACTTGAAATTAACTTAACTTTAACGGTTATTGACCACCTGTGTAGCCATCTCTGTAGCAAATGATTAAACGTATTGCCTAGCATTTCGTTAAGCGTGAGAGGTTCTGGGTTCAAATCCCAGGGAAACAAAGAATTCTTTCGGTCAGGCAGGGCACAGAAGTCTGATCAACTAATTGCCTAACGGATTGGTGAAACGGGCACAGAAATGTCTTCGCCCCGTGCCCAACGAGGGGAAACGGGATTTTTATACTAAATAATAAACGGTTTAAACCGCGATAAATACTAGTTAAACATATTTCAAAATGATTGAACCACGGCCCTACGTTAACGTTGTAAACCGTTAAAATGTTTTATTTATATTTGTACTACTCGCGTAAACTACAGAGAGAAGATCATCTACGATATATATCCGCTCTATAATCAAATTCAACTCCATCTATAGACTCTCTAGTATGAATAGGGTTCGTCGAACTTTTGATACTAGAAGCATCTCGAACAAGATTTTCGCAAATCATTTATGCTACCGCGATTTCTTGAGTCCATAGGTATGACTTAGCATTATCGAACATTATTAAAAAATAATGTTGGATCGATATAAATTTGTCATTGGTCTAGTTTAATTTAACTATCTACTAGTTTAGAAAAGGTCATATTTAAATAAAGCATTTTCACTAATGTTAGACACAAAAAACTTAAATATTAATTTTAAAACATCGTAGGACTCGGCCAATCGACTCGGCTGCTTGATGCAGAAGGTCCTTCACGGGAGCATCCTAGCTCGAATAGTACATATTAAAAATAAACTTATAACGGTTTATAAATGGGGAATGTGTAAGTTAAACTTATTAACAAATTACTTTACCTACGACCCAAATTAAGATACCTAATTCATATATCAATATTCAATAAAATGATTCGTTGTTTAACATAGTAATTATTTTATGAAAAAATATTTTTGTGTTGGTTAGACCATTATTATTCGAAGGCTTTAGGTTATAAAACATCAGGCTGCGACCAAAAGAAACGAAAAAACACAGGGAAATGTGCAAAAAACGGCCTTAAGATACCCAAAAAATTATGTATAAGGAATTAATTAATCTGTAAATAATGGTCAAATATATAATCTAGCATATGGCCGCGATAGTATGTGTCACACAAAAGCCGTGTTTATGGAAATAAAATTTTGTCCAAATACCTATTTTATAGGGCTAACGAAAGTTGGCCAGCTCAGCAATTTTTTTTTATATTACGTCAAATTTTAAGTCTACTTCATCTAGACAAGACTTTGTCACTAACTCCATATTTCTAGAGCTCTCTATAGCTTGGAGCGAAACTTGTCTAAGCTGAACTTACTAGGCGGCTCAGAAAGCACATTTAATCAGGAAAATGGAAAATCCCCTTTGAAATTTCTTATATGACATTTGCTGAGCGCCCTGCCATTGCGGAAACAAGGAAATTGGATTTAGACACTCACTCCATTTCCGAAATCGAGATTCTGTCACCCTTTAAAAGAAACGTTATTGATGTGTTTGAGATTACAAGGGCGTTATTAATAAAACCTTTTTATACTTATGACATATCCTTCCTTCTATCAAAACACTTGCTTAAGAAATCATTCCCGCTTTGCGAACTAATCAACTCACTCCAACGACGTTTCAGAATGTCTCAGTCGCTTTATGCTTCGCATTAAATACAAAATGTAAGTTGTGTGAAAGCCCGGTTCCCCCTCGCGGGGCATGGGGCGAACACGTTTCCGTGTCCGTTCCACTGATCTGTTCTTTAAAACGGGCAAGTAGTTGATCAGACTTCTGTGCCCTGCCCGACCGAAACAAATTTTATGTTTCCCTGATATTCGAACCCAAGACCTCTCGCGCTTAACGCAATGCTAGGCAATACATTTAACCATTTGGCTACAGAGGCGGTCGAAATATAAATAATATTAGACAATTTTCAAAGTTGAAGACTTTGTTTATTAACAGTAAAATGTGAAACCGATTAGCAGAATTTTATAATATATATAACGGAAGAATAAAACATGAAGCTATATTTGGTTAGCGTTTAGTATCTGTTACGAACGTGGTGCCATCTATGATCAACGAAGATTAACTAGCAGGACAAACCACAGAGCAGCAATAATGATAATAAATTAATAATAATACTTAATATGGTTATCTTTTTGACCTAAGATTAATTTTTTTTAAATATAATATGTTTTTGTAATTGTTGATTCCTCATTAGCTTTTTTTTGTGAGAGAGGGGTACAGACGTAGGACACTGGTATTTTAGTTTTGAATCCACGACATCGTTTTGGCTTTTTCATCAGTAGACGTTAGTTTTTCACCCGAACAGAATTCTAATATTTCTGCCACCCATTCGATCCAGATTTCCAAAGTTCAACTTGCGTCATAAAAATTATATATAGGATTGGAACATGTTGGACCAAGTAGGGGTCGATCCCACGACCTGTTGATTTAAATATACAATGATACCATTCGATCATCGAGCCCGACAAATTGTTATCCAGTTATCTGTCCCTCATGTATTGGTTAATTTAATTAATAGCTAGTCGGCTGCGAACATCCATGTCATTTTGGGGAAAGGATTAGGAATTCCCGTAGGCTTCGAACCATATAGCTAAGTAAATAATTTAATTAAAGACCATAGACAAGCCAAATTAAATATTGGGAGCAATTTTTGCATCGATCAGCACGATCTTGAATTTCAGAGAATAGACCCTCACAGGCTACCAGTTTCTTTTCTTTTGCTATTTGGTTTTCTAATTCTTTAAATTTTGTTTCGTGTGTTTCCAATGATTCTTTTAAGGTTTTAATATCAGATTTTAGTTCATTATTTTCCGAGTAGGTATTCAGTTGTGCTTTTAATGTCTTCTACTTGTTCTTTTTTGGAAGTGGTGTTTTGGGTTATGATGGCTACGTTATCGTTATGTAATTGGGTTGTTTGTTCTAAAATATCTAATATTTATTTGCGAAAAGTATCTAGTTGAGTCGCACAGTCACATTCAGGCGTTTTCCTTTTCCGGGAAGATATTCCTCTCAAATCGTACGCTAGTGTCGACAGGTCTGCGAGCTGAAGCTTCCCTCCGGTGACACTAGCGCCTTCGACGAAGTCTTTTTAGGCGACCGATGAACACTCATTGTCGCTTTATATGTCTATGCTGTCGGTGGTTGCACACCTTTATGTCACGGTGAGACCGGTTTGACGTCGGCTTAGATAAGCAATACAAGGCAAAAACGATCTTATTAGCAATTGACTAGCACTCAAATATATTTAGCAAAATACAGAATATAATTTTTATAAATCACTGAGACACGTCCATTTACTACAACGATGGACTCGCACTTGACAGACAGTATTTGAAACTTTGATACCCAAAACGATTTTACGCGGACGAAGTTGCTGGCACAGCTAGTAGAGTATACGACTTTCTCAATACTTTAGGAAACGATCTTGAAAATTTTAATGAACTTTTGTATAGGACGGCCTCTAAATCTATAACAGCGCTAAAATGTGCAACAAACAATGAAACACTTAACAATTTTAATAGCTGCAATCCAGTCCATACTGTGTTGCCCAGTAATCGCTCGGTCGGATCAACTGAATGGAGCTTAATTTGATTGTCCTCTCGTATTGTTAGAATTTAACAAAGCTTAATAGGCACTAAAACAATCCCCTTCCAGGGGTTTAATTAATTGGGGACTTATTCAAGCTGACTTAATCATAAATTGAATTTGATGCTGATCGGAGAAGTGCTTTTGCATTTATAAACGGCGCCACAGTTAAATATTAGTACATTATGATATAAGTGCGGTAAGTTGAAAATTACAGCCAAGGCGATATTACTATAAGAAAGCAGAGGCTGTAATTTTCAAAGCGCACGTATGTCATACGACGTTTTGTAACATATTTACGAGGAAATGACGACATTTTCAAATAAAAACAACAGAGCGAAAAGAAAAAGCGCGCGGATTTATTTTTACTTGTCCACAAATAAGCGATGCGCGCGCATCAACGTTTTTTTTTGGGCAAAGGTACAAAAACAGCCAGTATTACTAATAAAGTAAAATAAAATTTTTGTGTTTTTGTTATAGATAAATGGTTGTAATTTATTGTCAAAATTAATTAAATTAAAGAATTAAATGTGTTGTTATATTTTATTTCCCAAAGTTAATTTTTATTCATAAAATATTGACCACTTTCTTGACATAAAACCACTTTGCTAAGATTTTTAAAAGTATCGTTCATTTTTAGACGGAGTATCTTAAAACTTTATTTAAAAAGAACACTTGACTTTTACATTACAATTTGCACAAGTACGTAATGAGATACATTACGATATTGAAATCGGTGTAATTACAACCACTTTACGAGCAAATATGTTATAAAAACATTTAACGTTTAAACGTTAACTATAATAATCATGTATTGTCTGTAGTTTACGCTGCGAAACAGAGGGCGCTAGAGTAGCAGTTTTTGACATTAGGGACATCCTCCATCTTTAGTACCCGCCTCGGCCACAGCAATGTGTCGATGGAATGTCGAGCTATAGTTAGATTATATATAAAAATAACTTAGATCTTTCGTATCAAAAAACTCAAAATGGTTTTATTTCATGTGAAAAAGAAATATAGGATTTTCTTTTAATTGGATGAACAATTTTAAGATTAGGCTGTACAACAAACAAAATCGATTTTATACAGACTGCTAGGTCATGTTGCAGTATAGATTTATCAAGCGCTTCTAATTCCTTTTTGGTTTATTCGATGGAACGTCAAAAGCTGTGTCATATACAACCAATATGCGTGGCTGACCCCTTTTTCCTTTTCATAGGCCGAAAATTCACAGCCTTTGCGTGCTTTTACACAATGATTCATACGTGGAGATATTTCGTCTACGTACAAAGTCGTTTCGTTCAGCGAATCGAATATTGAAAAACCTGAAAACAATGCTTTAGTATTTATAGAACATAACTGAATGTTGTTATTTTACGAAACATACAATACATACAAAATATATATGATAAGATTTCCGTTGCATGCTCTTTGAAAACGGTTCAAGATACCCAAAAAATATGAATAAAAGAACGATGTAAATAAAACGCTTTAACGGTTTAAAACGCGATATATTAAACTTATACTTGAAAATGATTTTTAACATCAGCTCCACGTTTCGGCTGCTGATAAATAAGTTACCTTTTTACCTTGATAATAAGTTACTTATATGCTGCCGGCAAATAAGTTTAACTAATATATCGCGTTTTAAACCGTTAAAGTGTTTTATTTAAATATGTACTACTCGCGTAAACTATAGACAGTATTTTAAATAATGATTTCTTATTATCTATAAAAAAATTACCGCGATAGTCGATATGTGGATATAATCTTTTAGGATTAACTTTCAACAACGACGAGACATGCACGACATCGTGGGTAAGGGGGCTATAATTTATAAAGATGAGGCTTGCAATAACATTTTTTATGCCCAACATAACTATTCTCCGCGGACGTAGTTGCTGGCGCAACTATTCTCAAATAAGCGTCATATTGATAACTAGCTGAGACCATTAGTACGCGTTGAATTGATTTTCGATATCAATTTTTGTTTTTGCAAAGCTCCTGTTCAACTCCATGAATTGGAGCTGTTACCCACGACGTCGTCCTCGTCCCATCGTTCTTGCATGATGTTAATCTTAAAAGATAAACATATTCTGTCGCAGACTTTATTTAGATCGTTTAAAGATAAATAATTATTTAATACATATTTTTTGGGTAACTTGAACAGTTTTCGCAGCGTACGCAAGGGAAACCCACAAGAATGAATAATTTTCTCCATTTCTTCGTCGTTTTTTTTGCTCTTATTAGTCACAGCGTTGCTTTGTAGTTTATAGCCTTCCTCTATAAATGCTCTAATACATAAGATTTTTTCAATTCGAACCAGTAGTTCCTTAGATAAGGGCGTTCAAACAAACAAACAAGCCCTTTAGCTTTATAAATTAGTATGTATAGATTGTTATCTATATATCTTGGTGAAATGTTATAGCCAAGGAAGTGCTCAGTTGCATTCATAAACTTTTGCTTTAAAAGTAATTAGGGAAAAGTTTAATTTTTGGCTTGGTACGGTACATGTGGTGTGGCATTAATACAATTACTTTGATTCTCAAAACAGAAGAATTAATCTACACGATTGTATTGAAATAATGGAATAAATACAATTATTTTACTGTTATGATAATCGAACATTTGTCCAGACTTCCGAGGATCGGAAACAAGCTCGTTGAAGCTCAGTTGGGATCAAATCCCAAATTCTATCAATATTCCATTCACTTAGCATTTCCATTGTTTTCAGAGTCGACAAGAATACAGAGCGGCCTTCCTAAACTACTGTGACAATTCGAGCCCAGTCAACCTAGCAACGTACTACGATTCGCATAACAACTACGTACAGCAATTGACGGCGACGAACGCAATGATTGAACAATATCATAAGCATACACTGCCGACTATATTACAGGTAAACACATCTCTATTGTACCAAATTCTAAAGAAAGACAAAGCTTTTTAGAAAACTTCAAAAATTATACGATAGTTAACGAAATCCCATTAGTTAATCTATTTACAATTTATATAAACTACGCCCGACGTTTCTGGGCCCCTTCCAAAACGTGGGGCCTTAAAGGGGGGGGGGTTTTAAACGGGACATTTTAAGCCGTTAAATTGTTTGTCTTTTTAATGAGTACTACACGCGTAAACTACATACAAGACGACGATCCCGGTTGTCGTGTTGCGATAGAGGTAAATAGCCCCTCACACGACTCTGTAGAAGCAGGATGAGTTTAGTCTATTTGTTGTATTACATCGTATTTATTATACAAAACAGAGAAAATTGCTTTTAGGTTAAATTCGAAATAGCAATTAAATAAATGTATAATTAACTTTCATTTAATTAAGAAGAGTATGGATATTCTATTTCATTAATTATTTTTTGGGAGAATAGTACTTGACAGACTTTTGTATCCTGTTCGACCGAAATCATTTTATTTTTAAATCTTTCGAGTTCCAAATGCAAGATCCTCGAAACTATTGCGTTACACCTCTAAGGCTAAACTTATACCAATATTTATTTGAATAGTAGACGACGACTGTCAACTTTTTTTCTGGAAATTTTTTAACAACACCCGGAACTATGATACCTAACAAGCAAACCCTAATATTTAAAGGATTATAATTATACCGTGATTTAATCCGTTGAACACCCCTCCCCCCACTTCCTTGATTAATTATTATAGACGTTTTGTAATCTTAGCCCATTTAATCCCAAATCCTTGGGGATAGTGGATAAAACAACATTGCCAATGGTAAAAGCATCTCGAATTTCACAAGATGAATAGATTTTAATTAAAATTGACGCTCATAGATTGGAAAGCTGCCTCCTAGAATAGTCTCAGTTCGACTGCAAACGTTAATTAATATGATTTTGTTATCCTTCTTTACTAAAGTCGATAGATAATACGGTTATATTAATATTGGGAACTAACGATATAAATTGGAGCTTTAGTTATAACTTTGTATAGTATAGATGCAGTAGTTTCGAATCCTGGAAAAAAAATTGTTTCGAGTTAAGGACTCGTGTAATTGTTTAAATTAAAATATAATAAATAAAATAACAAAAAGTAAGCATGGCTAATAATCAAATGGTTCGATCCCCGTGTCCAAAATGACGTGTCTAATCAATTTATAATTATTCTGAAACATGTTGGATTTAGAGGTGGTAGGAATATTGAATTTCCGCCCGGGTCAAAACGGTCTGTCTACAGGTGACGTGAAGTTTTATCAAGTACACTTTTTGTCTGTAGATTTTCTAATATACAATAGTAAATAAGTCGCAAGATTGCTGGGGAAGTACCCCATCTTCCATCAAGTAAACCCCGTGTCTATCTCTATTCTACTGTCATAAAAATGAAATTTTACTTATGTTAACTGTTATTAAACAAAATCGTTTAACAAAGCTCAAATTAACCTCGGAAGCAAACAAACAAGCGTCATCCTTTAATATAAAGACAAACAGTAAAGGCAAAATTTAAATAAAACACTTTAACGGTTTAAAACGCGATATCTTTTACTTGTGCGGGGAAGCTCTCTCCCCGGGACCACGGCTGCAGCAAAGCATCCAAACCTCGGGCCGTAGTTAAAAATAATTTTCAAACAAGTTCAACTTAAATATATCGCGTTTTAATCCCTTAAAGTGGTTCATTTAAATGTGTAATACTCTCATAAACTAAAGGCATAATTCTAGCCTGTGCTCTAAGGTGTAAAAATTAACATGCGCCATTCAATGTAAATGTTACGTAATAAAATTCTTTATTAGCACGTTAAACACTCGTCAGCATATCAAGATTCACCTTTTCCCCTTTAGGTAAATATCTCGAAAGAAATGAGTAACACTTTCATCTTAACACTTGTAACGGTGGAAAAAGCGAAATGTTCAACCCATTTCGAATGCTTTACAGGAGCCGTGGTCATGACATTGAGGCATTGTGTAACGTTTTGATTTTTTTTTCGCCTTTTAAACAGTTAAAGGCGTTTCTAAGTAATATAATGGTGCAATGGGTAATATGTACTTTTTAAACTGATTTTATAAATCTTAATATCCAAAGCCAAAATAAGTTCACAGCCGTTCTTGCTTAGATTCTATATGGCTGTGGTTTTTTACCTTCCATCAATCTCATAAAAAAAACTGAACGAAGCAAGTATGTTTGCCTGTGTCTTGCCCGAAAGATAAACTTTTGTACCGGGATTTGAATTTAGGACTTCGTACTAACCCAATGCTAAGTGTTCTTTAATGTAATTTAACGTTAAATATCGTTTGTTTTAATTATAGATATACAAACCGCCCTTAACAAGTGTATTTGCATAAAAATATATCAGTTTTATTTACCCCCAGTGTTTGGTGATTTATTGCTTAATTTATTACAGGAATTGGAGGAAATTTTAACGGACGTCACGACGGCCGTCAGCGATGCTATTTGTCAGGAGGGGGAAATTATCTCGGAAAAGGTGGGTACTGTTTAATTGAACATTGTTCTACATTTTTCAAAGTGCTCCATGAAATCTTCCGACACGTGTAATGACTATGTGAAAAGGATAACGGATATAAAATCTGTCATGTCATTAAGTATTTTATTTTCACTAAACAGCTTTGTATGTGCGAGCCAGTTCAAAATATAAAATTAATTATTTTATATGTTACCTCTTTTGTTGCCAAGTTGCGTAGGAGATCGTTCCATTTTTAAATTACAAGACTGTAAAAGAACCTGTCAGTAAAACGGACACGGAAATGTGTCCGCCCCGTGCCCCACATAGGGAACAGGGGAAACAGCTCGGAGGCAATACATACAACTGACTTCGGTCCTAAATCACTCGTTAAATTATTAACTAAGAACAGGAGGTAAGATTTCTCAAAGGTTATGTTTCTGTGAAGATTAAAGATATACGACCAAATGAAAAAGTAAGATTAATAAGATTTCGTTTGCATCTCATTACATCATAACAAAGAAACAGATTAAATTAGACTATCAAATGTATAACATAATAATTAAACTCAGTAACACACATTAAACAAGACGAGAACTAATCCAAGAGATTTTCAAGCAATTTCATGTGGCTGTTAATTAAATTGTCGAGTGCAGACCCTCTCCAGTGAAGTTCTCTTAAAGTTTACTATTATGTATCTTCTATAATGATACCAAATACCTTTGTATGAATAACGAATATCATATTCCATTTAATCCTCAATGGAAACCAAATGTTGTCATGTCAAACCTTTTCATATAGTCTTTAGAGCTTCACTCCCGTTTAGAGAAAAATATATATTACTCAACTGAATTAATACCATTCCATAGGTATTTTTGAACTTACAATTTCTTAAAGATGAATTCATTGATTAAATTAACTATTAAAATATTCTGTATTATATGCTATTCAAAGAAATATTTGAAATTATCAAATTAAAAATCTACTTTAGGTTTAAATAAAACACTTTATTGGTTTAACACGATATATATTAGTTAAACTTATTTGAAATTATTTTACCAGCGGCCCGCAAAGCACCCAAACGTCGGGCCATAGTTAAAATTTTTAAATAGATAAAACTTTCATATAAGTTTAACTAATATATATCGTGTTTTGAATCGAGAAAGCTTTTTATTTGAATGTGTACTGCTCACGTAAACTACAGACAAGTACAGAGAAATTTCTTAAAGTCATTGGAACTCTCGTACAATATGTATATGCTTACTATATCATAATTAAACAATATAGAACAAAAAAGTAAAACATTTCCGATGTTTACCTTATTTCTTTATCACCTTTGACTGTAACGCTATGTCGCTCCCACGCTTTAAGACGATTCAAATGACACCTCACATGTTGGAATCCATTAAGGCCTGAATGTAGGGCGTGCCAAATAAGTGAAACATACAACATATATAGCTATGTTGTATATATTGTATGTATAATGTACCCCTTAAGTTTTCTTTAGATATTTACCTTCGTAAAAGTTTATTTTGATTACAATACATAATTCTCTATCATTCTTAACTAATTTCAACGATATATTAAATTTAAATAAAACATTTGTAACGGTTTAAAACGCGAAATATTTTAGTCAAATTGTTTATAATTTATTTTAACTAAAACCGTGGTCACGTCTGCTGCAAATCAGCACGTTAAACGTGAACAAGTTAATTAATATATTTCACGTTATAAACCGTTTACAGTGTTTTATTTTTTATTTAAATGTCTGTTTTTTTTTACAGTGCAACCATCAGCTAAGAAGATACGAGTCTCTTTGCGCCCAGGCTCGCGCAGTATCCAGTACAGCTGATTTGGCCCATCTAGCCAGAACTCTACTGAACAACCAGCCACCTATGAGGACCCCCAAAAGAGCATTCCTGCCACCATATCCACCAGAACCTGATGATCCACCCATTGACGTTCCAGCGGTAAGTTTTATAAACATTTGAAATATTTTTTTAATATAGAGGAGGACGGACAAGTTCACTTGATGGGAGATAATATACCCCAGCCTTTAGCATCTAAACAAGATGCGTTGTCGACCTTTTATTTGGCTTTGGCTATTCGGAAACCCACACAGACTGAAACCGAAACGCGATTATCCTTGACGAACGGAATTTCAAAGTTCCTACCACCTATTTAGTATCCAGATTTCCAGACGAAAACAACATGTTTCAGATAAAATTACAAATTGATTACAAACATATTATTAGACCCGGTGGGGTCGAATCTACGACCCGATGATTATTAGCCATACAATGCTAATTAGACCGTTGTATCGTGACGTTTAAATAAAAACACTTTAACGGTTTAAAACGCGATATATTAGTTAAACTTATTTAAAAATGGTTTTTAACTTCGGCCCGACGTTTCGGATGCTTTGCAGCAGCCGTGGTCTCGGGGAAATTGACGTTTATTTGCGGTTCTGATCCGCAGCCTATGACGTCTTGTTTTGGAGAAGAGGATAAGGGTAGTCAGCCTGATATGGGGTCATTTTCGTTTATGAACATCTGTAGTCCGTCAAAATACGTTTTAGGGCAATATATCCATAATATCTCTCTCTCTGTTTTATTAACTCGTTGTAGTAAATAATCTGATTTTAAACAATCAAGTGTTATGTGAAGAATATCATCATCAACGCTGCAAAAACGGTTCAAAATACCTAAAACATATGTAGGAAAGGGTGATGTCTCTTTTAATGATCTAAAAAATGTCCGCGACACTATAATATGTCTATCGTTGAAGATTAACTTGCGGGACGCGACGAGAAGGAGGTTTGCAAAAGCATATTTTAATAGCCAAAATAATTATCCTACGCGAGCGAAGTCGCTGAGACAGCTACTATTATATATGTGAAAAAGTTAATAAGTATGTCTGGCTGTAATATATAGTCATTAAGGGTTTCATGGCCCTTTTTCAAGTGACTAAAGCAGTTTTTCTGTTTCCGTCATTCTAAATTAGGACGTCAAGGAGTCACTGCTCAACGATTTTTCCCCTGAGTTTTTCATTACATTTCCTTATTAACTTAGAATTAAACAATTATTTTTAAAGCTTCTAATGAACCTAAGTTATAGGCCCGTTTAGCGGCCGCCTTCGCACGGGTAGATATAAATGGGTAGGTACAGATATTTAAGGTATAAGCATGCTAATTAAAGCAACCGTGAATCATTAGAACATTAGAAAAAAATTGGGACTTATTTATTTTTATTCTTAGAGCAAAGGATATTTTTAAAGGGACCCTTTTAAAAGATATGCGCAAATCATTTGGTATCATCAGGATCCGCGGAACATATGCGAGCTGCCGCGGGACCCGTAATGATAGTTGCTACAATCAATTAGTGTGATTCCTAATACTAAAACTAAATAGCTCTGAAAAGAACTTTTCATTTAAAAAGTTCTTAATATAAAAATGTGTTAAAATACTCGAAATATTCAATAGCGCTTGCGTCCACTGCGTAAGGAGCCGACCGCACTCTGCCCCTCTCACGCTGCGTGGGGGCCGCCGCCGACATGTATTTTTATTTTAATTTCATGATATCTTTTGAACAAAATGTCCGATTTCAATAATTAAAAAAGTAATGGAATATGGAATTATTTATTAGGATAAAAAATTATAAATGGTATGGATAACACGGTCTGATTTTGATCGGCATTTCTATCAATTTGTTAAATGTAAAAAAGTAGTTATAGTGACGTAACTACAATAGTTAGGTCTCTGGTATATTTTTTATAATACTTTTCGCAGCGTATGTGATGAAAGACATTTTATAGCTAAATTTTACACCTCCCGTTGGTTTTGATTGAAATTTCTAAACATTTCTATAGTAGATCTAGTACTTAATTTAGCCTATGTTACTCAGTGATAATGTAGCTTTCTAATGAAAAAATAATTATTAAAATCGGTCCAGTGCGTTTTGAGTTAATTCGTTACATACAAAAATAGAAATCTTTCCTCTTTATAATATGAGTCTATATCGAAATTGCCAGTGGGTCATCTGAAGTCATAATGTGAAAGTATATATATTTTTTTATATTCCATATAAACACATAGTTTGTAACAATGCTGACGTTGGTCTAAAGACATCTATGTATATATCTATATATAGCTGTATCTATGTATAGCTAAAAATCAACGGTTCGTGGGTTCGACCCCCCCCCCCCCCCCCCCGGATCCATCATGTTTCTGATTCTTATCCTTTCAAATTATTATTTATTCTAAAACATGGTTAACTTCGTCTGGAAATCTAGATAACATCGAGATTGAACTGATGGTGAAATACAGAAATTCCGTCCTGGAACCGCCCACAAATGAAACAGCCGTGAAATTTAATCGCGTTTTGATTTCAGTCTGTGGATTGTGGAAACCCATGATAGTTTGTCTGTACTAAAAAATGTTGCGTAAAAAAGTGTTTATTTAAAGTTGGTATATATCAGAAACCTTTGTTCTTTTTAACAATAGTTAATTTCAGTCAAAAGATTGAGTTCTATTCACGTACTTTACACACACTACGTAACAACAGTTCCCAGAATTTGTATAAAGTAGAATACAATAAAAGCTTACTCAAATGACGATTTAATCCTAAAATCCTCGACAGCCAATTTTTCGAATAGTTAATAGGATTTTCCTCTATTGTGTTCCCGTGCTGAGCTCATTTCAGAGAGAGCTGAGTTCACACAATTATTTCAATTTTTATTTATAAGAGTTTTAACTTTTAAAAACACATCTACATGGCCACCTCTTTGATTCAATGGTTAAAAAAACATTGTGTATAGATAGAGCCGGTGATCAAATCCCGATGATATACTAATTTCGGGGGGACAAATTAATGAAACCAACTCAGAAATGCCCCATTAACGCCTATTAATAATAATAATAATAAAAATCATATATTTAAAAGTTGCTCCCATTAAAATATATACTAAGATTAACCTAATAATAAACTTATACAGATTATATAAAATATACAAGGATTAAAAAAAAAAATTATAACTATGGGAACTCCTAAAACAGGAGCCACTCAGCACAATGTTAGGAACACACTCGTGTTGCAACACTGATTTTCAATGGCCCCTGGCCCCACCGCTTCTGGAGAAACAAACAAAATTAAAGTGTTGTTTTTTTTTTAATCTGTACCAATCGCATAAAATATAGATATATCTTTTGTTATACTCTAAAGAGCCTACAAAATTACGTAATTCAAAACAAACGCTTGTAATCTGAACAAATTAGAAGAAATTAATATTCAAAACGAGACTTGACAAAAGTTTTGCCAAGAATAATCTTATTAGGTAGAGTAGCTCAATTGGATAATGGATAATTATAAATGAGAATTAAAATTGTTTTAAAATTTATAATGATTTATATTACAGTATTAAGCAGGTGCAAGAATAACAGCTGTAGTTTACAAATTGCGTTTCAAGCCGTTAAAGTTTTATTTCATATGTTTACTTGCTTAAAGAAGATCTATATCTTCTTTCTATGATACTTTATAGGATACTAATACTTTCTATCTCCTAGTTTCTGAAATTACAGTTATAAGTTACTGTACTTCTTGTACAAGAAAAACTGTAATTTGTGTTTTAAACAGTTTAAGTTACTTTTATTTAATGAGTACTATTTGCCTAAGTAGATATAACGATGAATACTTTATTGTTTGTTATTTATTTGTTTTTATTTTTCTGAAATCATCACTTTCATTTTTGTATCACAAGTACCTAATAATTATGTTCCTAAATCTAAAAATCCCTGTTTTTTACATTTTAGACCGTAGTAATACTTTGGTATACTTCATTGCCGATCAAAAAAAATCTACTATATACAAACACTGCCTGTATATTACGCGAGTAGTATAAATTTAAATAAAACACTTTAACGGTTTAAATCCCGATATATATTACGCTACGTATAGCGACGTGCTCACGAAGAAGACCGCAGCATCTGAAACGTCGTGCCGTAATTTAAATAATCTTCAGCTAATTTATATCGCTGTTTAATCCGTTAAAGTGTTTTATTTAAATACTATTGTATATTTGAAAAAAAATTCCCTCACTTAAAATACATTAGTAATCTACGGACACTGAGAAGTTTCGAGGAATAATAAAAAATTGATAGAATCAATTTTTAGGTCAGACAGACTTACTTTCAGAAGATAAGATGATATAGACCTAAAATATGATTCAGTTTCCCAAGACAGTATTTAACGACCCCTAACGACTCAATAATGTTTCTGATCTAAGAATGATGAAAGCCTTTTACGTGCCCCCATTACCGTAAGTATCTAGATTTTTAGGTGTTAAGGAAGCAAGACATACTAAGGCATAGACAAGGAAATGTTATTAGTGTTATTTAAGAGTATTCAAAACTAAGAAAAAAACGTAAGACTTTAATTATATATAAAATTACACTTTTAAAGGTTTAAAACGCGAAGTATACTAGTCAATTCACCACGCCTTCCCCCTCGTAACCACGACACGTAGTTCAAATAAATTGTAAATAACTTAATTAATATCTTTTGCGTTTTACCGTTAAAAGTGATTTATTTAAATGTACTACTCGCGTAAGTTACAGACAATACTTTATTTTTTTATCAAAACAGATCGTTAGCTCACGCTTTACGGGCCAGCCGGCCTGGTTCCTGAAGATTCGCTCATATTAACAGACATACAATTAACCACACTTCTGTGCCAGAATACATTTTTCGAACTCATTTGATTCAATGATTTAACCATCAAATATACAAATAATATTATTAATAGAACATAATATTATATAGATATACATTATTTTCTTACATTCTCATTATTCCGCGCTTAGCTTTGTTAACGAATATAAAGATTTCAGTTATATTGAGTATAAGATCCGCGTAACGAAATAAAAGAGATTTCGAAGCCTTTTCGCCTAAGTTCTTATGGTTGTGGGCACCGATAATAATGCTATCGTTTCTATTTGAATAAATATCGGTTGGAATAAGTTTGCAAAGGCTTTATTATACGTAGATGAGTCGAGTTTCGAAGGAATTATTTTTTTATCTTGTTTTGATATCTTTTTTATATTAATACATTATAAGTATATATATGAATATATATTATGGTCTAATGGTAGCAATGTATGGCTAATAATCGAACGGGTGTGAGTTCGATCACCACCGGGTCCAAATTGTCCAAATTTTTCAATTTATAAATTAAAACACTTCGTTTGCAAAGCTGGATATAAAATGGGTGGTAGGAATATAAAAATTCCGTCCATGTCACGGACCACCATCGATAGATGAAAAAGCCGTGAAGCGTAATCGCATTTCGATCTCTGTCTGTGGATTCCCGCATATCCAAAGCCAAAATAGGTCGACAGCGCACCGTCTGTGGTATATCATCTACCATCAAGTCAACCTCATGCTCGTAATAAGGAAAAAAAATAAAAAAATCCTTTAGTCGTATTAAATTTATTTGCCCTGTTTATTGACAAGAAGAAGCTTAGCAATATATCTTAAAGTACTTATTTGAAAACTGTAATATTTTTTTTTTACATGTGTTGCACATGAAGGCACTATGTAATTTAAAAATCGAAAATAAGTTGAAAACGTTCCGTGGTGTTGCTCTCCAATTGAGCTACCGATTCAAGCAACAGCACGGAACACTGACGATGCTGGTTCAAGTCCTGCCTGAGTCAAATTTATTTTCGATTTTTTTTAAATATCTTAAAGTATTTTTTATCTCAAATATTCCTTAGTGCTGATCACAAGCATATGTTGAATATCCTTTGTTATATGTATATACAATCGTACCGTTTACAGGAAACAATGCCTCCGGTACTGAGAGGAGAAATGCTGCTAGATCGAATGGGAGGTGGACAAGCGAGACTCAACTACGAGCAATTGAGAAAAGACGCAATTGATCTCGAAATGCAAATCAAACAGTTACAGGTACGCTATGGGACTATTTAAGAAGTAATTGCTATCAAAGTTTGCTTATGCGCACTGAAAAGCAAGCTCTTATACTTCTAATTACTAATTAAGAAGCTAGCTCCTAGAGTATTTTGGTCCCATTTATACTTAATAGTAGTGACTATTTGTTTAAATCTAAACACTTTAACGGTTTAAAATGTGATATATGAGATGCTTTGGAGCAGTCATGGTCACTGTCAGAGACAGAGCCTCTCCGAGACCACGCTGCTGCAAAGCATCCGAAACGTCGGGCCGTAGTTAAAATAATTTTCAAATAAGTTTAACTAATATATATCGCCTTTTTAACCGTTAAAGTGTTTTATCTAAATGTGTACCACTCGAGTAAACTGCAGACTATTTCTGTTACACTTTTAAAGTGTCTTCTTGGTTAGCATTATGTATTTTAATTGTATTATTGGTAAACAAATGGTTAAGTCAAGACACTATATATTATCGAAATGCGTAAGATGAAGCATTTGTGAAGCTTTATTCGTGTGTTTAGTCAATATGTATAACTTAAAAAAAACTGCATACGTTAATAGAATAGAAAAGACCATATTTTAATTATATTTTTTATGTATCAACCTAACTCTAAAAGAATACGTTTCTACTTAGGCTTTTTACTACTACTACTGGCACTATTACAGAGGAACCTTTATTTTTTATAATCATATTACTTTAAACGTCTAATGAAGCATTTGTCTTTATTGTATTGTATCGTTTAATATTTATGTGTAATCAAATAAAATTAATTTTACTGATTTTCAATTTTTTAACTTAGAAATGAAATATTTTTAACACAATTTAGGATCATGTAAGAATGATTTATGGTAAAAAAATATGGTCGTAGAGTTTGTCATCAGTGAGAGTAGTGTTTTAAACTATCATAGATTAACAAAGCAATAAATAAACGCTTAAGAAACGTCAAATGACGATAATCCTTCATATTGTGACGGAATACATTTCACTGTTCCTCTTTAATTAAAAATATAGGTTTATTGAAAGCGGAGCTGCATAAAATTGAGAAAAAGTTCGCCATACACTCTCAGTACGTAAAACTTCTTCCACAAAGGTTGTCGATTTTCAATATAACGACACTTCGTCACTCGTTCCCGAATTGAGGATCTTTTTTGGGTCGTCGTATTTCTGGGATGTTGACAGTTGGGGTGAATTTATGTGAATCAATCACTACTTAATACAAAAACCCGTGTTTGTATACACTTAGCGCGGGGAAAGTCCCGATGTTTAGGGATTGTACACTATACACTTGTATATTTAACATGAATTATTAATTAATATTAATTTTGTATTGAGAAAAATATGTGTTAAGTCCAATTTTCTGTTTTCAGTGCTTTGCAGCAGCCGTGGTCACGGGGAGACTGACCACGGCTGCTGCAAAGCATCCGAAACGTCGGGCCGAAGTTAAAAATCATTTTCAAATAAGTTTAACTAATACATCGCGTTTTAAACCGTTAAAGTGTTTTATTTAAATGTGTACTACTCGTGTAAACTATAGACAGTATCCGATTGATATTTTTATGATAGAGGAGGACAGACAAGAAAAGGGTTTACTCAAGGGCAGGTCAAATACCTCAGTTCTAAAACATTTTGACACGACAAATTATAATTTAAAAATCGAAAATAAATTGAAAAAAAAAATCGACTCGGGTAGGACTTGAACCGGCATCGTCATCGTTCCGTGCTGTTGCTCTACCAATTGAGCTGACTCGGTAGCATTTATTTTCGATTTTTAAATTATATGGTGCCTTCATGAGCAATAACGTGTAAACAATATTAATGTTTTTAAGACAAATTATTAAACCATTTTTTTTTGGCTTTGGATATTGGACGCGGTGAGGATCGACTCCACGACCAGTTGGTTATTAGCCATACATTGCTACCATTAGACCGAAAATCGCCGTTTCGGTTTCAGTCTGTTGATTTTCGAATATCCAAAGCCATAATAGGCCTACAACGCATCTTGTCAAGGTGTTATATGGCTAGGGGATATTACACCTTCCATAAAGTGAACTCCGTGCTTATCTGTCAAACTCTGTCATCAAAAAAAACTTCAACATGACTACTAGTACGAAGCTCGTTGCTTTAAATGTTTTGTTAACCTTAACTTATTCTGTTTAACAACAGAATAGTTTAACAAAGCGTAAATTAACTTCGCAAGCTTAACTTTCTCGATTCTATGTTAATTAGCTTCTTTAGTTAAATCCGTATAAACTATTCATATTTTCCGCAACTTCTTTTTAAATTGCGCCGTCTGTGACACCGTTTCGTGGACACGCGATCCTTATTCATGAGGAAATTAAAATTGGCTTACGTTTACAGGAGAGCTTGGAGTCGTTGATTCGCCTTCAAAACCGAAGCATTGAGACCAGCATTTACAGCAAAGCGAACGAAATTCAAGTGAGTACAAAACTAAACGCTTAAATACCGCATTTTTAATGGCACTATGATATTCTCGTACTTCTGTACTATTCTTCTGGATAATTTTAATAAATGATGATTTAACTTTCTATAGGCCAGTCATTTAAAAATAAAAGAGGTCATGATCAAACATAAGAAACAAAAGCCTATCACTGATGACACTGATGTTCGGAATATTTATCTTCAACATTATTAGTATTTTACTGTATGTACTGTGAAATCTTTATTATTGTACTCTACCGTGTTGAAATTGTGAATATCCGACATTTGTAAAGGCCTATGTGAATAGTATAAAGATTATGCGTATCTGCAATGCATGTACAATTGTTCGAAGTGCTTGAAAATTCAACCTGTGTTTCTGATAGAGCTTAAAGTTTGGATTTGTACCTGAACAGCCAAAACAGATAACGTGATTTAATTAGAGGAATACTCCGTAAAAGATAATCGATAGAGAAAAGACATTAACATTGATATACTTACACGTTGAAATCAATTTTTAACAACATTTCAACGGACTAAAGGCGATTAGAATACATAGTTTGTTGAAAAAACAATAATAGAATTAAAAACACTAATGACCGGCGGCATTCTATAAAACATTGATAAGAATGCCGCATATTTTTTCTACCTAAAATATAAGAGGCGTATTAAAAATTAAAATTTAACAAGCTTTAAAATCAGCTTCTGTTGCCTTTTTCCTTTTTAATGTTTTTTTATAAATGTAATGTGCATTATTTTTTTTAAAGGAATATTTTATATCATGTTTCCATACGATTAAAAGCCTCGTTACCAAGCCATTATTAAAAAATGTAAACTAGAGCCATCTATGTTTAAAAGAAGTAAGTAAGTGTAAGTTTATGTTGTTTATCTGTGCAATTTCTACGTGTCATTTTCTTCTACCTCTTAACTGCTAAGGCCGATAGGTGGCGCTTAAACACAACTACAAATTAAAAAATATAATTATATTAAGCTCTTTTTCTTACTCATACAAAATTATGATTTCTTTTTGCAGGAAGAAATATCTATAAAGAAGTATGATTATAGAGCTACTCAACTACACCTCGCGGCAGTTAGAGCTCAGGTAAGTTCAAAATAAACCTTACTTTTACTTTGTAGGTATCAAACGACAATATCAACGTTTTAAACGTGTCTTAAATCATTTTAATGGAAAATTACGTGTATAAACAATAATGAGAGAATTAAACGCAACAAAAAATGCTTTTCAGAGATTCTGAAACTTCAATATGATTTCTGAATACTCAAGGACATTACTAGGTTAAGATTTTTTTCAATAAATTATTTGTGAGTACTTATTATATTTTATTGACATCGTTGTTCAATGTTTGTGGCTGATAGATATGATATTTTGGCGATAGGCACAATTGTTCGATCGCATCTTTATTGCATTTAATACGCAAGCGAACAAGAAAATGCAGGATACATAAGTAGCCAACGTAGACAAAGATTGCAAAAAATTTATGCATTTCGTCTCGATATCTTGTAAAGGATGGCTCCACATCTGCAATGAGTTGAAGATTTTTCAATCAAGTTACGTTACTGGCTAGTTTGTTCCCGATATTCTAAAAAAATAGGTAATAATTTTTGTACTCTAAAAACGTCTTGCGCAGTCGAGTAAACATAACTTAATAGAAATGGCAGGGTAATGAAAAATTCAACTATTTTATGAAAAGAAAACCTTCAACTCACTCTTGAACAAAGAAACGTTTTGAAAATAGCTACGATATCTAGGCAAAGTGCGCATGCGTTATACTAAATTTCTGTTTTGAACCTAGCCGAAACCAGCGACAGATTCCAATCAATAGTTTTCAATATTTCCCGCGGGTAAACTTCAATTTTATTTAATTATATTAATAGGCCAAATAAAACTACGTGCGTTGTGTTAATGTTAATGTTCGACTCGACGTGGCTTGAAAATAAATATTAAATAATAACTTCTGCGAATAAATTGAAAAAGTGGTAAGTTTTTTTTTATTTTTTATAAATAGCCAGTATTCCGCTCATGGTGTCGAAATAAAAAAAAGTAAATAAAATTATGGCAGAGCAACTTTATTTAAGGATTCAGCTGTTGTTGTCGCAATGCGCACAGCCTCCTGTAACCCAGTCTAAGAGAGGATCTCGTGGCCTACATAACCTACTGTAGCGCGACTCCTTTATTATTTATAAAACACATCAATTAATTGTGATATTGTTTAATATAAAAACTTTCACGACGGATAATTCACGTAAATTTAAATACTTTGCCAAAATGGGCTGGATTTCCATGAAAAATCACATGGTAAGTGTTTTGATGTGAATTCGCGTTATTTCTTTTGGAAATTAACAATAATCTTCTTAGTACAAATATATTTATGAATAAGTTTAATATTTATTTTTAAAATTATATGGGAAAGATTGTGTGTTAAAAATTATGTTATTATGTGCTTAAATAAACCAGGAATAGTACAAAAATAATAATAAACGTAGTGTGCTTTTTGACATATTTTTTAACACAAGAGTTATTTTAAATTTGCATCTTAATTAAATCTATAATGTTATGTTATATTTCTTTGTTTAGGTTAATCTGATAATATTGTATAACCATACCGACTATGCTACATGAAAGAAAATATATTTTATGGCATTTAAAATTATATTCTGTACATTACAATGAATAAACAAAATAATTACATAACAAAATAATAGCCGAAGCCTCAGTATTAATTGCTTATGTATGTTAGGTACTTAATTAATTGGGTCATAATATTATTTATAGCTTTTTTAAACTTGACCTTTAAAATAATTGTGTTTCATTACCCAGTCAAAAATAGCATACACACCATCTAGCGTGATTTCATTGCACTAACAGACTATATAAACGCCAGCTGTCATTTCGTATTGTAAATAATGTCAGTTGTCAATTTTCGACGTCATGTAGCGTCAAGTGAAATTGTGAGAAAGTTGCATTTTCCAGTGAAGCGTGCCGTTTTGTTTTTAATGAAATTTGTTTATTATTCGTCGTCAGCAGTGTTTACTTCATAGAACGCGACCCAAAACTCAAAGGTAAGCACATTTTTAGTTATGTAATGTTATATCGCAAAAACTTTCAAGATAAGCATTTTCAAAGAAGTATAATAATAATAATGTTTACTTAATATGCTTTACAAAATTGTCTTACTTCCACTTAATGGACCTTGAGTTTTTTCAATTCGTTTCGTTTAGAAATGAAACCAATTGTTTGTTTAAATTGTTAACAAGATATAACCTCAAAATTTTAATGTTATCTGAATTCGAATACTGCTTCTACAATATTGAAAGTATAGAAAATCAGATAATCGTTTACTTTTATTTATAAAATAAGTGAAGTGATTACAATAATTAATATTTAAGTAATGCGAGAGTTTTAGATCAAGTTGTACGTTTTGGCGGCAAAACTTAATGACTTGTTTTGACGTTAGCGCCTACTAGGCTAATCTTCCGTTTAGCTTACTTAGAATCTGTTCTAATATTCTTTGCTATATTCTACGATGTAATACCTTAAAAATATATTTTAAATTACCTATATTTTAAATATAATATTTTTTGCAGGTGCCAAAATCATGAAACAAGTATCAGCAAAGAAAAATAGTTTAAAATATGACGACGAAAACGTCAGATATAAGCTAAATACTCAGTATTTCAATAACATTACAAAGTCTAAATTAAATAATGACGACGATGACAGCATACGCTATAAACTTGCTCCTGTACCCAAAACAAAAGCATCTAACAAGAAACCAAAAAAAAAACCAACAATAAAAGTGAACTTTTGGAGTAATAAGCTAATCTTGCAAAAAACCAAGCGAACAACAAAAAACTCACTAAAACACAGACATACAATAGATGTCACAGATAGTGTGGAACCAAATAAACCAACAAATCCTGTTGTGAAAATTCGGAAACATGTATCTTTTCTTCCGTCACCAATTTTCACTGAAGACCATGTACCAATGGTCACAGTTCCAGATGACTTAACAATTCAGCTAAATACTACCAAAAATCAGTCTATAGGCAAATTAAACTTGGATAATGTACAGAATGAAAAAGATATCAACAAATTGCACGAGCAAAGCAGAAAGAAATCCAGATCTTCAACGACACAAACTAGCCCAAGAAGCCCAAAAGGACCAAATAATGACTCTCAAACAATTTGGGGGAACGAGAATGAATTAGATTTCTTCTCTAAGTATGTTGTACAGAAATTAAGACGCATGGAAACGAATCAACGCATTTATTCAGAAAATCTAATCAATACCGTGCTAATGCTAGGTCAGCTGGGAAAGTTGAATGTCAAATCACACATAGGTGAAACATAGTATTCAAACATACTTGTGATATATAATATAAGATAAACTCAGAGGCAAGTATTTTAAGACAATAAAACTGTTTGTCAAATATATTTTCATTACCGGTTTAAGTGCAATTTAAGTGGGTAGATAAAGAATATAATAAATAGATCTCAATTCCGACTATTATTAGTCTATTTTTACTATTTATTCTATAGCTTTATTGAGAAATGTTTAGCAGAAATATCTTTTTGTAAAGACAGCAAAGTCAATTTCTAAGTGGCTCTAATAGTTTAACAATTTTTTTATGTTTTTTGCTGCATAAACAACTGCTTTAAGAGTAAGTTGCTTCTAGAACATCTCTATTCACTTGTTGTATTTACTAATGAAATGTTATATAGAAGGTTGTTTTGTGTTGTTCGTATGCAAATATCATGACCCCCATACAAGCATACAAAGGTTTTTATATTAAATCATGGAGTTTACACTATTCTTTATCTATTAACTAGTTTGAATTAGCTTGTTCTGCTTACCTTTGTTATATAATTATACAGTTTCAAAGTTGAATATTTATTGGCGTAGCACTAATTTTTATTTATTTCATACATTATATATATATATGTTTAAGGTTAAAGTTGTAAAGAGAAAGATATTTTCAAGGTGCTATTATTGAAAGAGGTTTTTATTAATTAAGGAGTAATATTGTTCAGTTTTCATAGACATATTTTAATTTCAATGTGTCTAAAAGATAGATCAATAATATTGTGAGGGTAGGAATTTTGAAAATAAAACCAGTGCTTTATAAAAACTATATTAACATGTTCTTTGACTTACATTTCTGTAAAGTATTTTTACAAAGTATTTCTATTAAATACTGTCTATAGTTTACGCGAGTAGTACACGATTAAATAAAACACTTCAACGGTTTAAAACGCGATATATTCGTTAAACTTTTTTGAAAATGATTTTTTACTTCGGCCCGACGTTTCGGATGCTTTGCAATGATTTTTAACGTCGGGCCGAAGTTAAAAATCATTTTAAAATAAGTTTAACGAATATATCGCGTTTTAAACCGTTAAAGTGTTTTATTTAAAAATAATGTCTATTTGTTAGTTTGTGTTATATATTATGTATTTTACATTTTAAAAAAAATGTCTTGAAAATTGTTATTACACTCACTTTTATTAAGTGCAATACTAGAATATGTTTATAATTGTTATAAAAAGACATTTTCATTGTTACCTTATATTCTTACATTCGTTAAAACGTCCTGTATAACTATTTAGCAGCCAGATAATGCGATGTACATATTATTTATCAGACCCTAGTCCCAAAAGTGGGAAACAACAGCTAATTAGCTAAAATAGTACATAAACGCACAATATTATGTAATAAACATAATTAGCATAATAAATTAGTTTTTCTTGTATTATTTAATATAAAAACGACGTGTTCTTGTTTGATATTTAAGAGATAAGTTATTTAAAGTAATAAACAGTTTTTACTTATTTTTTGTAATTATTTGCATTTTTTTGTTTTTAGCCACAATGCCTAAGTCGTCGTCGCGGGTGTGAACTGGTTTTCAAGTAATTTAAAAGCAATTTAAACTTCTTAAATCGAGAAATTGTTACCTAAATTAAGGAAGTACAATCAAGCTCGGTTTTTGAGAAATAACAAATACGCCTGTAAAATATGAAGGCAGTTAATTAGTGGCGACTTAAGAGAAAAGAAAATTAACAGATTTTCTAAATTTCGAATTGTCTTTAAAATAAAATCTTTTTATGATACCAAAACCAACCAGATGCGCGGGGTGTATCCAAAGATATTTTATTACTATACACAAAATGATTTTTGCCCCAACCTATCACTGCTAATATCGATACACAAATAAACAATAATGCGCTATAGGATTGTCTGTAGTTTACACGATTTTATGTGTACTAGTAATAAATTGTTAAAAAAAACCTAACCCCCATGACCACGACTGTTGTAAAGCATCATGTGAATGTTATCTAATATATTTCGCGTTTTAAATCAATCTAAGTCTATTATTTAATGGGTGCTTCGCTGTTTCAATCACGATTTCAAAGTGTAACACCTTAATTTTGTATTATTAAATTAACCCTAATAAGTGAAATATAAAATTCGTCATATTGTTCCATCTATCTTATATGTACTCGTATAAATATGAAATCTCTTAAACTTAATTAATCTCTATTTAACATAATTACATACTAGAATTTCCATTCTCCGATCACGTTACAACATATAACTTAATAAGTCTGCTCACATTTTTGTCTGAGATCGTGTGAGGCGAAACGTGTTGTCTAACGCGTTGCTTAGAGACATCAAGCAGGACTCGACATTGAACATCCGGCGCCCAGCCAGTCAGTCGTTAGTCGTTACCCGCCCGCCCTAAACAGTGCCAGACTCGCTAAATCTCTCGCTCCGAGTACAGCGCTGCACGTTTACAATATACGTACGTCACTTTAATCTCTAATCATCTGAAATTGCTCGTTAAATTCTAAATTTCAAAATTAAATATGAATTTTTCAATTTTACGCAAGTGTAAAACTTTGAGGGAACATTTGATTTTGGTGCCTAACTCCGTAGTAACGCTAACGCATTAGTTGTTTGCTAGTTTTCAATCATTTGACGTTGTATTCGAGAAACATGGATATAGTGCATCGTCTGCATTATTTAGTGCTGTCCCAAAAGTCAGATCTTATGACTATGGAACAAAGAACGCGCGTGAGACGCCAGTCGAGTCTGCCAGACGCGAACAAAACCCGTCAACGACTGGAACAGGCCTATTTTAATGACGTAAGTTTATGATAAGTGCATTCATAAAATCCCTTTATTTCTTTACGACTTGTACTTACAAAACCACAAGAGTCGTTTGCTAAGACCCTTCTTTCTACATAGGTATAAAATTATTTTCTTGTTCCTTTGTTCACTTTAGACCTTCTAGGTGAATAAATTTGTGTATCTAACACGAACTTCTTGAAACAAAACCAACCAAACCATTTTAAACGAATTCCCGACATCAAAATGCAGTCGTAAAATAACACAAGTAAAGCAGTTTTATCATAATTTTGCTTGATATGAATAAAAAAGAAAAAAATATATTTAAGTGTGAACAGCTCTTTCCAACTTTAAACATAAGTACGTACCTTGCCAGGTACTAAAATAACGTTGTTAAGTAGATAAAATCTTATTTAGTGTTGTAGTCTCGTTTCTTAGAAGCCTACTTTATGCCTTTGCCAAGTTATGGTTGGTTGACAATTAGGTTTCTACCACGAAGTTTGTAATATAACGGTTTTTTCACATTTGAAAAATAGAATATTTATCATATTATGGCATACTAAGTTAAAAATCTATTGAGAATTAAAAAAAAATACGACACTACACATTTCACGACTCAAACCACAATACGGTGGCTCATTTGGTTAGAGTAGCTCTGTTATGTGGACGGGTTAATAGGCCTTTGGATTGTGTAACTTATTATTCTCAAGTTAATTAAATCTTTGGATTATGTACATTTTAAAAACTTGGTTTGTATGAATTTGATATTATGTCTAAATGTTTTTTAAAAGATATAATGTACTTACAATGAAAACTACATACCTACTACATTTACTTAAATAATATTTATGAATTACTTAAAAAAAACGTCTTAAACTTAAAACTAAAGAAAATAAAACGTCCCCTTAGCAGTTAATCTAGGTATTCTTCTTCTTCTTTCTTAAAAAATAAAGTTCTAAACCCTAATTAGAGATATGCGGTATAAGATTCATATCAATCCGCGGACATCTACAAAAGAAAATAAGGTATTCACGAGGCTCAAAGAAATATAGCAGATAGCCAGATAAGCCATTCCGCTGTCGGCCAACTGCCAGAGATAAGGAGCTTTATGGCTTTGTTTTTATTTGTTCTTGACACGCTTCTTGACCTTATCTTCAGCAATTAGGTTGTTCATACGGGGTGTCGTTTCGATAGACTTTTTCGGTTAACAAGCGAAAACCGTATTCTGCGAAGGTCCGTTTATCCGTGATACCAAAGGGTGAAATCCTGTTTGCCGCCGTCGGACATGGAGCGAACACATTTATGTGTCCGTTTCACTGATCGATTGTTTTATAGGCACGTAGTTGATCAGACTTCTGTGCCATGCGCAACCGAAACAAGCCACCCCTAACACAAGACCTCTCGCTCGCATGCTAGGCAACACGTTTTTCCGAAAATCCAAAGGGCAGATAACATCTAAACAAGATGCACTGTCGACTTATTTTGGTTTTGGATATTTGGAAATCTACAGACTGAAACTTCACGGCTTTTTCGTGACCCGGGCGGAATTTTGACATTGTCACCACCCGTTTAATATCCAGATTTCCACACGAAGTCCAACATATTTCTGAAAATTTGTAAATTGATCAGGTTTTAATTTGTAAGTTGGACCCGGTGGGGGTCTAACCCACGATTAGTTTATTATTGACCATACATTGCTACAGCTTTGTCATAATCTCTATAAATAAACAATATACACGTAGAAATATTTCAATTCTAGTTGATAAAAATAAATAAAACAATATTCTCCAATAAATGCGTTATTTCCATTTGAAACCTACGCACCACTTGAGATAATTTCAGGTCATGTTGCTTCCCTACATATAAATGTACACTAGATTGGCCTATTTAAAACAACCTACGCAAAAGTCTAAAGTATAGTCGATAGTTTGGGCGAGTTTACAAAACTTTACTTCTACTAGCAAACTCTTGCTCCTTTGTAGGAAGTTGACTTTTAGACACGAATATTTCGAATTCACTGGTTTTTCTGGTATTTAAATAATCATTTTCTTTATTTATAATATGTATTTAAGGTATTTTCCAAGTTACCTACATTCTTCACTGTACTCCATGTTAGGCGTACTATTTGAACGCGCTAATCGCACGAACAACTGGTTCGAATTGAAAATTTATTTTTGTGTTAGGTAGAACATTTATCGAGGAAGTCTATATAGACTATAAAGCATCGTGCTATGACTAATACTAACTAAAAAAACACCAACAAATATAATTGAAAAAAATATTCCTTTTTAAATGATCTAAAAATATTGTCCGAGAGTTAGTCCTTATTACAAAACAAGGACTAACTCAAAACCTGACTTAAACCTAGGTTTATTTGAAATCCTTATTACAAAACGAAGTTTAACGTTTGTACTGGACTAACTATGGTACTAACTTAGATTTATTCAACCATGGTGTAAGAGTTAAACCAAGACTCCGCAGTTCTGGTTTGAGTATTTTTTTGTAATAAGGCCGTATATGCTTTTTAAGAACGACTTAATTACTTGCAAGAACGACGGGACTCGAAAGACGGGCGAGCGACGGGGCGCGACCGATGTCGTGGGTAATAGCTTAAATTTATAAAGGTGAAGAATAGGTTTACGAAGAACAAATTTTAATGCCAAAAATAACTATTCCACGCGGACGAAGTCGCTGTCGCAGCTAGTGCCAAATAGGCACTAGGGAACAAAAATCGTTAATACTTGTTAAAAAGTTACATAAAATAACGCTAATAACAAATTAGTTAAAAAATACGCAGACTCAGTTGATTCCCGCATGAGTACTTAGACTTTTTCAATGAATCATTCATGAGCTAATTAACAGAACAAATTATTCATTCGGTAAAAATTCATTTAAATAATATTAAATATAAGTTATAAGAAGCCGCCGTTTTTAGACCACAGATATTTCTTTGGTTCTTTCGAAGTAAAGAAGTTAGTTTAAAGAATTTTAACGTCCCCGTTGTATAATTATAAAACGCTTTGTCTAGTATTGTGTGCACGGGAGGGCTTTGTTTAAGTTTGAATCCCGGGAAAACATAATACATTGTCTTTATCGGGCAGGGTACGTAATACAGAATTTTCGAAAATAAATTATTACACTTAACTCATGTTACAATATAATCTCCTCTACCCCAAAACAACATATAGAAGTCGTGACAAAATGTGTCTGTCAAACCAGGTTATGTATTAAAAAAAATATCAGGAAAGTAGATTTCGACATTAATAAAACACCCTTCTAACAAACAAAACATATGATAAACAATAATACTATCGGCATAGTTAAAACGACTTGCGTGTGTTATCGCCCAACCCAACTCTGTGTTAACCCTATTACCTAATTATGAAAGGCTTGAACCAACTATTCTACAATTATTTAAAACTGGCTGTGCCCGTGACTTTATCCGCGTCTAGTAGTTAATTTATTTTTGCCACCAACTGCTGCTGTTACCTACGACTTGTTGTTTGCTAGTAGAAGTTAAGTTTTGTAAACTCACCCAAGCTATTGACTGCACTGTAGATTTTCGCGTAGGTTTAAAAAAATGGCCAAACTAGTGTCGTGTAGTACATCTATATGTCGCGAATCCGCGTCCTTCGTTCTTACGAGTTAATCCTAAATCTCCTTCACAGTATATGCATGTCATATACTGTGAAGGAGATTGTTTTAAGTTATATAAAATGGAATCATTCTACCATACATATATTTTAGTCTTAAAGCCGTTTTCCTTGCTTCGTCTGGTCGCATCCTGGTAGTTTATATCCTGAAGCCTATCCAATAAGCGGTTTAAACGTCATAAAAAAATATTTCAATTCGACCAGTAGTTCGTGTTAATAAGTGCAATCAAAAAAATGAACAAACTGTTCAGCTTTATAATATTAGTATAGATAATAATGTATATTTACTTAAAATTTTAAAAGTTGATTATGTGGAAATAAATGTCTTTAAATGTATCTTTGTAAAAGTACTTAAATACTGTCTATAGTTTACGCGAGTAGTACACATTTCAATAAAACACTTTAACGGTTTAAAACGCGATATATTAGTTAAACTTATTTGAATATGATTTTTAACTTCGGCCCGACGTTTCGGATGCTTTGCAGCAGCCGTGGTCACGAGGAGACAATTAAAAATCATATTCAAATAAGTTTAACTAATATATCGCGTTTTAAACCGTTAAAGTGTTTTATTTAAAAGTACTTAAAATCAAACCCTTTACAGATTAAATCGCCGTTGAGAGCGAATTTTCGATGACCAAATCATCTGAAACGTTGCTTAAAAGTAGGTTAACTAATATTTCGTGTTTTAAACTGTTAAAGGTATAATCTTTTCTGTTATTACTCCATAAAAGTACATATAACATTCTTATAAGTTTTAAATAAATGTATGTATTGGATAATAATAATAAAAAAATTCAAATTTCTCAGAAAAATAACCAGTTTTGTTCTTACTTCATTTATATTTTTCTATAATTGTCATATATTTCCGATTGAAAGTTCTTATTGCCAACAAAAAGTTTAGAAAGATTGTTACGTAGATCGTGTGTAGAAAAGTTTCGCGAGGGTAGAAAGAAAACCATATAAATCTCTAAGTTTCAACAGCAGAGTCAGAACAAAATGAAGATTCTACAAGAGATAGTCTTTCTTTTCGATTGTGTCTTAACTTTTTTCCTATGTTTGCCGAATATTGTACAAATACATTTAACAAATCTTGTCAATAAATAATAATATATCTAATGATTGAATAATGCCTTTCGCTTACAATGGTATAATATAATACAACTGAAGTTAAATAATTTTTGAATGTCTGCGCAAACTAACACGATTAACACGAGCTTGATGTAAATAACAATTAATTAATTAATTTAAGTTTAAACCGTTAAATATTGTTTAACTTTGAAAGCTAAACCCCTGTGTGTATTAATTGTGATAGATTAATAATATTTAAATCCCTTGGTGATTTTTATTACGTTGCTTATTGGAGTGAATGTAGCAGATATGTATAGGAAGGAAATAGGATTTATCAATCTCTGTAATTTAGGCAAATATTCATTAAACGTGACAGAGCTTTTAAACTTCCAACATAATATCTTTTCGAGTCACGAAACAGCCGGAGCACCTAATAAAGATTGTCATGCCATTATGTAATTTACAAAGGCTAGTAAGAGCTTAACAGAATAATATAGGCCACTTTTTATTACTTACAATTTGTTTAGCTCAAAAAAGTAGTGTAACAATTTTGCCATTTCTATGTACAGTTTTGTCGACACACAAAAATATATTCAATTTATTAATGTGTTACAAATTTAGTCACAAAGTTACTTACTCAAAAATGAAACTAATATTTAGGTATCATATCAATTCCTTGTTTAATTTTACTATTTAAAAGGTTAAATACTGTCTGTAGTTTCTGCGAGTAGTACACATTTAAATAAAATACTTTAACGGTTTAAAACGCGATATACTTAACTTAAACTTGTTTGAAAATTATTTTTAACTACGACCCGACGTTTCGGATGGAATCTGGGAGTCTCCCCTTGACGGCTGCTGCAAAGACATAATTAACTAAAATATAACGCGTTTTAAACCGTTAAAGTGTTTAATTTAAATATTTAAAAGGTTCTCAAATCCTGAAAAATCTTTATTAAAAGTTATCAAAAAGCTTTCTGATGCGTTTTTATTTTGAAGTATTTTTTATTTCTACATGTAAGGGCTGGCTGGAAGAAATCGCTATAGGTGAGAAGGCCGCCTTTGCACATTTTTTTTTATTTTGTATATGTAATTTTAAGTGTCTATGTTTGTGCAATAAAGAGTTTGGTAATTCATCATTCCTTGAATCTTTAGGGTTTTCTATAAACCTTTTCTTTAGTAACGACATTAAACTGATTCACAGATGAAATCTTCAGTTAAATGAAAGTTTTTCATAGTATAATTAAACACGAATCAGATTAAACACAATCTACAGTGTTAAGTTGTACAAATTCCTCTGAATCCGTGACAATTCGACGAGTTAAAAATTATAAATTATTATACCGCAAAGAAATTCCAACTTTTATAGCGAACGACCGACCGAGTGAAACTAGTTAAAGTTTTAATAACGTCATCTGTCAGAAATCATTTCCAGAAAAAGGACTTTATTGTTCGACCTTCCTTCTTACTCTCGCAAAGTAACTTGTGTTACAAGCTTTAAAAGGTCTTCGAGTGTTTAAAACCAAATCCATAAAATAATCAAACATTACGTTAATTTAATAGTTAAACTATTAAATTAAAGTAATCTAAAATTTACAAGAGTAGACTGAAATCTGGGTTTACCTGTATAGGTCATATAGTAACATATTTCCATGTCCGTTTTACTGATAGATTTGATTTAAATAGTTGATCTGACTTCTATGCTCTGGTAGGCTGACGGTCTTTTTACCGATATTCGAACCTATAAATCCTAAACAATGGTTAAATGTTTAACAACGGGGTTTACGCGATAACTACTAGCTTACAACTAGCTATGCCCGCGACTTCGCCCGCGTGTATTAGTAGTTTTTGGGCATCATAATATTATTAAATTATTAGCACAAATTTATCAACTTTTAAAATTACTATGGGTGATACCCACGACGTCGTCCACCGCACCACCGGAGACCTCAAAGATTACTAATCTTCCCCGTTCTTTCTACATTTCCAACTGTTTCTTCGCTTCTATTGGTCGCAGCAAGATATTTTTATAGCTTAAAGCCTTCCTCGCACTCATGTTACACCCTATATTTACAAAAACAGGATCCTCAAAATGACGTTGCGAAGAGAATTGCACTTAGCTACTTTACTATTTGGAGTGATAAAAAATGCTAAACCTAATTATCTTTTTAAAAAATTAGAGTGGTGTCGTGGTGTCTTCCAAACAAGGCTCCTCAATTCAGGAGGGTTGAGAATTCCTAAATATAATTCGGCCGCCTTTAGAGGGTCGTTCAGTTACTCAGCGACAAAATGCTGGAATAATATTCCACCGCCAGCCCATAATTATAATAGTTTATTTGGCTTCAAAAAATTCTACAAAGCATTTTTATTAAACTATCAGAACACTTTGCCGCTGGGCGCAAGAATTTCTCCCTCCTATTTACGCCAATAATTTCTAATTTCTATTTTTATCATTTATTGCTTCCTAATGTTTACCACTAAAGTCACTGTTATATAGTATCGAATGGTTGTATGTGCGCTGTCTAACAGACAAACGGTAGGGTTTTGCTGAAAATCAGTGTTGTAGCATAATAACCGTGCTACAACTTATGCTGACGTAAGACCCTTTTGGCATCATTTTAAACAAAATTTAATTTAATCTTGTCGTAGTATTATTGTTTTACTTTTATTATTATTATTTTTTATTGTAATTACATTTATTTTTATTACGTCTAATAATTGTACAAAATGAATGCTAAATAAAGATATTTATTATTATTATTAATAGAAGCTCTGACCACCACTAAAGTTTTCAATTCGAACCAGTAGTTCCTGAGATTAGCGTGTTCAAACAAACACTACGGCATTAAATTAATATAGATTAAGATATTTCCAATCACGACCCAAGCAACGTGTTTTTCTTCTTCGTAGCACTAAAAATAATTAATCTGTTAAAACTGATATAATTATTGGAGGTAATTCAATTTATCTATTCGTGTTGCAAATAAAAGGATTCAGATTAATAATTAATGAGCGACGTTTTTATAGGGCTTCGCTGTTTTATATTCGCGATCTTAGACTAATAAGATTAGTGAACGCACTGCCGATCACAAATGGAAAGGTGTTTAGTATAATATGCCTGTCATAGTTCTTTACCCGAGAGAATTTCTTACAGATATTAAAAAGAAAAAGGAAAGATTTCTATTATGATTTACCAAATCTCTTTCGTTCTCCACACCGTACAACATGATAAAAACAATTTTGGAAGTAGTTTTAATGGTAACCATGCCTTGCTTATAAAACCTAAGTACGAAACTGTTATATAACTGTAATATGTACTAATATATAAAGTTGAAGAGTTTGTTTGTTTGAACGCGCTAATCTCGAGAACTACTGGTTCGAATTGAAAAATTATGTTTATATATCATTTAACGAGGAAGGTATATTAGGCAGTAAGTGCTATGACTAATAGGAGTGAAGAAACAGCGGGAAATGTAGAAAAACGGGGAAAATTATTCATCTATGTGAGTGTTTTTTTAAATTATCTTGCAAGAACGATTAACGGGACACGTCCGACGTCGTGGATGATAGCTTTAATTTACAAAGTTGAAAAGATGTTTGCAAAAACAAATTTGGATGCCCGAAATAACTATTCTAACGAGGACGAAGTTGCTGACACAACTAGTCTATACATAAACGTTCTTGTAACATAGCCTGTTGATATACAATCATTAGGAAGGTGCTTATTTTAGACATAAAATATTGTAAAATCCCCACATGTGTCATTCGTTGTACCAAACGTTAAGCGATTCTATGGGTCAGTATATAAAATGAAAGTGTGAAATCTGATTGTTGTTTAAAATGTCACGTGCCTCCCGTAACCACTGCTGCTGCAAAGCATCCGAAACGCCGGGCCATAGTTAAGATAATTCATACTAATATATGTCGGGCTTTAAATCGTTAAAGTGTTTTATTTAAATATTGTGTAACTATAGACGGTATGTAGCCTATTTATAACCATTTTCGATTTTTCTCGGATCTACGTAGCGAGAATTCCACCGCAGTGTGGTCAGCCGTCCGGTCAGTGTCAATCTGAAGTATGTATACAAAGTTGCTAATTGAAGTAATACCGTCCGGTTTTCATTGCACAACCGTTGGTTAGTTGCCTCTGCAGCTTTGCGGTTCACCGCAATTGCAACCGGACGGCCGTCCGGTTTATGATAAACCAAACCCTATAAAAATCTTCACATTAGTATCTCTGTTAAACTGTGATTTTTAAGTTCCAGTTTCAGCCAGTGCACATTGATTTCGCTTCTTCATATACTAAAGGACTCAATTGCTTGTTACCTAACATCACGTGTTCATTATCTGTCAAAATGTACATCTTCTGTATCAAGACGCTTCTTTTACATTTCATTTAATTAAAGCAATATTTTCAGCGAGAACTTAAACACACTGTACACTAAATACAACCTGATGATTCAAGTTCATAATCCCTTGAACTCTTGTTGCGGGTCTCACTATCAATTTATAACTTTAGGAAAACTCGTAAGCAACTTAAAGTGGTGTTTCCTTGAACCACCGAACCATATCCTACTATATATTTAGTATTTATTTAAGGTGTGTTCATAATCTATACTCTAACGGTTTATTCGTTGTCTAAATATCGGTAATAAGTCGAGGCATTCAATCGCAAGAAATATTAAGTTCTTAAATTTTATCTAGTAATCTGTATGTAATCAATTGTTTTAATTAAATTTAAAACGCGAAATATATCAGTTAACTTATTTTTACTACGATCCGACGTTTCGAATGCTTTGCAGCCGTGATCACGGGTCAATAAGTTAACTAATATATTTCCAGTTTTAAGCCGTTTAAAGTATTTTATTTTAACGTATTATTTATTAATATATCAACGTATTATTAATTTCCTAAGCTAAGTCATACCATGATTTCCTTTGCGAGCAGGAATACATTAATATTTTTGGACAGAAATCTAACTTCTTTTTGTATTATAATTATTGTACAAAATATAGTTTAATAATGTAAAACGTTGTTTCAGAGAGAACTGTTCGCTGCGAAGGCGGAGAGCGGCGCTGTAGATCGAAAGCTATCATCTTCATCAGCCGGCAGCATGAAGAACAAGTGGCTCAAAGCGTTTAGGAGCTTGAAGCCTCCTAGCGCACCACCACCCCACGCAGCACCAGATAAGTAAGTTCATTCCTTGAAACGGTGATACAGATGCTTTAATACCTTTAATCAGCTCACTTGATGGTAGATGAAAAGCCTTTGGACTTTCCATAAAGTCTCACGAACACTGGAAATCAAACCTGCGACCTATGGTATGTTAATATTAAGGATTAGTTAATAGTATTCCAGTAAGAATCTGGCGAAATGTTTTGCTTTAATAATCATTATTTGGCTTTATTGCGACCACAACACAAAAGGATTGTGTATAATATTGATTAGAAATACTTTAAATATCATAGTTCTTTTATCATATTTATGTTGCCGTTTTGTACAACCACAATATTACGAATCACTCATTATTAACAAAGTAGTAATGACGACAATATAATATACTAACATATTATTACAATTAAAACCTAAAATATTATAAATAAATAAAAAAAACAACTGCATATTAGTGGATGTGTTATGGTTGAAATTACAATGCTCGCGATGTGCATGTATTGATACGTTGAAAAAATTTGACGATGACGTGTAGATTCAAGTCCTTCCCGAGTCGTAAATTTTTCAATTTATAATCGATTTTTCACTTCATATTAACGCATTGCGTGCGGGCAACGTATTTAAACCTTTTTTGCAATCTGGAGCACGTAAAAATACGTAATGGATGGAAAAGTATGTGGTGGATATCCCCTAACCACTACAAATCTACTAAATCCATATAATTATGTGTGAATTAAGTATGTCTACGGTATGCATGGTGTCTCCGTTGCTAGGCAACGCTTTGTATTTACCTTCCACAAGTTATGATTGTCGAGTTACTCGGTCTTTTGTTGAGTTATATCGACTTCAATCGAATTCCTACCAGAACAATAGATAAAGAATAAATTTTCCATTAAAACTATGATTTACGTAGCGCAATTGTTTTTTGCGTCTTTTGGGATTCACATTACGAACAATCGCAGAAAACTACCAGCTGTTGTAAACAGGTGCGTCAAGCTTGTTTTGGAAGCTCACCAGTTTATCAATAAAGTTTTGTTGGCGAATGGCGTAGCGTTTTCTCGCCTGCAGCGGATCAATTGATTACATCCCGGCAGACTCCAGCAAACACTTTGCCGATAGACGACGGCAATGAGATTTTCATTTAAATGTTTTATTTCCTTTGCATATTCTGAATTTGAATCGGAGTGCAATTTTGTTGATCACTTTTTTATTATTGAACTCAGACGCGCTGACGATGCAGTTTTTTCAAGCAGCTTTACGACAAAAAAGGTTTTATCAACGTGGTTTTTGACGGGAACTGATTTCATTTATCCATCTAGCCTAGTTATCATAGCCTGGGGGTTTAAATCCAGGACTTCTTTGTAGATTTACCTACACTTACGAAGATCAATCTTTTTATTGCATATTAACAAACAAATATTAAGGCATACGACTTCAAAAACTCACTACTTTGTATGTATTTTGTTAAATATTAAGTCCATTTAAATAAAACACTAATGGTTTAAAACGCAATATTTGAAAATTATTCCACGGCCCGACGTTTCGGATGCTTAACAGCAGCCGTGGTCACGGGGAGACTAATATATAGCGCGTTTTCAACGGTTAAAGTGTTTTATTGAAATATGTGCTAGTCGCGTAAACTACAGACAGTATGTTAAGTCTATGTAAAACAATTTTAGTAATCATAGTAATTGAAGCCCTTGATGTAATTTTCATGACAATCGCTACGTAATAATTTCAAAGGTCAAGAATATTCTAGAAACTATTATATACGTTTTCATCTAAGCTTTAACATGAACATGCTGCCCCGATAGTATCGTATACGTTTTGATTGAACTAGGCTGATATACGGCCTTCAAACGACATAAAGCCATTGATAGCCAGATCACTTAATGCTTAACCTTTCGAAGTTAATTATACATAAATAACTTGGGTTACAGTTCGATTTGTAACAGAATTTATTCAGTTTTGTAAGAATGTATTGAATACTGTCTGTAGTTTACGCGAGTAGCACACATTTAAATAAACCACTTTAACGGTTTAAAACGCGATATATATATTAGTTAAACTTATTTGAAAATTACTTTAACTACGTCCCGACGTTTCGGATGCTTTGCAGCAGAAGTGGTCACGGGGAGACTAATATATATCGCGTTTTAAACGGTTAAAGTGTTGTGTTTAAATGAAGTTTGAGAATGTAGAGTATAGCTAAGATCTACTTACAGGCCGTAACCAAGTTAACAATCACATGACAATCATTAATAAGGCAACTTATTATTAAAGGGTAATTCGCTTCGTTACGTAACTCGTTACGGATTTTAATGTTTATATAAAAAAGTCCTTTCGTTCACCTCGTTTATTATTTAAAGTTTTAACTCATCAAAAGTAAAATTTGTTTAGATCATCAAATTTATAGAAATATTGAAAGCACTTTATACATTTCTCGTGTATTATTTTCGCTAAAACATCCTAATTCGAAAAAGCCCTGAAAGGACACTGAAATTATACAGCATCTGTTTCAATTTATTCTCTCTTTACACCCGAACTTTTTACATAGAGCCTTTTTATATTTCAATCTATACGCGTAACACAATAATCTGATTTAAAACCGGGTCAACTACCTCCAAGCAAGCCCGATTTTAACATGAAAACGCGTAGTTCGTTATTAGGTATAGAATTTAGTGAAGTGTGTAATTAGATTACTAGTTATACGGCTTCTTACAACGTCGCTTGCAATTTTCCGATTAATTAGGAATGTATAATACTGCATTGAGCACAATGTATTTAGTTCACATATTTGAAGAAGAAGAAAGAAGAAAAATTTGGACCGTGGCTCGGGATCCGACCCGATGTTCCTACCACCCATTTAATTTCCAAACGAAGTCCATCATGTTCTAGAAAAAGTATAAATTGATAACAAAATGTTGGACCCGGTGGGGATCGAACTTACGGTCGGTTGTTAGTCACACATTGCTACCACTACACCCACGAGTCCGTCAAATTAATCATCCAGCCCGTCATTATTATGTTAGCAGTTACAGCATTTTTTAATATTATTGATTAATTAAAAACACATTTAAGTCTTGACCACCGGTGTTGCTACATCTCAAGGCGTTTAGTCCCGGTTTCGAATACAATTAACCACGTTAAATTATACACAACAATCGACATAAAACAATTTAACGGTTTAAAACGGGATATATTAGTGCGTAGATGCTGAAACGTGGGGCCGAAGTTAAAAATCATTTTCAAATAAGTTTAACTAATATATCGCGTTTTAAACCGTTAAAGTGTTTTATTTAAATGTGTACTACTCGCGTACACTATAGACAGTATTTATACACAACAATACAACTCACTCTAACAATTTGAATATGCAGTGCCCCCAGAAATTCCTTTATGAGATTTTTGCATATTTTCAAAAAAAAGTTAAGTCCACTCATAATAAATGAGATCGCATAATTTCTTTAGATATCTAATTAATTTTAAATATCAAAGACATAACTCGCGGCTAGTGTCCCATTTGAATTTGACATTAGAATTTACAAAATATTTCAAGCTGTTGAATAGTTAAATACTGTTTTTAGTTAACACGAGCGGTTCTCATTTAAATAAAATACTCTACGGGTTTAAAACGCGATATATATTAGTTAAACTTATTTTAACTACGGCCCGACGATTCGGATGCTTAGCAACAGTCGTGGTCAGGGGGAGACTAAGTTTAAGTAATATATATCGCGTTTAAATCGTTGAAGTGTTTTATTTTAATGTTAAATAGGTGTTTAAACCAACTTTCTTAGCCTGCATAATGCGGAATATTCAAGTGTTGACAAGCATACTCTGTAAACAGCCTCTAGAATATGGTAACGAGATGTTACAATTCTACGAGAACTGTTTTAACAATGTTTATGTTCTACGGGATTGTCATTTCATTTAAATACTTCAGTAACAGTCAAGAAAATCTTAAGTATTGTCTGTAGCTTACGCGAGCAATACACTTGTAAAATTAAAACACTTTTAACGGTTTAAAAGGTGAATATATTGGCTAATTCTTTTGGTTTTTAACTACCTCTCGATGTTTCGGATGCTTCGCAGCAGCAGTGGGGACTGCGCTAAACCGTTATTTTTTTTTTATTTAAACGTATCTCTAAAGGACAGATCGTTTTTTTATTTATGATATAATAATAATTATTCTACATTTAAATTTGGGTTTTCAAACTATTTCTTACACATTGTAGAAATATAGTTACCATTTAAGAGAAAACCAATATGGTTCGTAAAATTATAGCTTTGATTTAAGTATGTTTACTCTATGCCAAATAAAAATTGTATTTTGTTAGGCCTGTACGTACATACATTTTGCTGTGATACAAAGAAAAACATAATAAAAATTATTTATATAAAGTAAAGTATGAAAAAAACGATATCTTATTATATTGTCGTCATTATTTCTAACACGTATAAAGCTTCTGCAGTGACTTTTAATAATCTGTTCACATTGATTTTTAAAAGTCGATTTTTAATCTGTGACTTATCAATGACATTTCAAATAACAGTCGAACCAATGTCACAGCTTAAAAATATGTATAGATGTGTTGTATCTGATAACCACACGCGCCATGTTCATTTTGATGTTTTTTCTTCTTGCAACATTAAAGAAAAAATCAAATGTACCACGCGGTGTCTACGGTTATGGCGATGAGGTAACTTTGCCCCGTAGGTGTGTTTAAAACCGAGTATTCACCACTCCTCTATACACAATGTACAGGTATCTGGATATTAATGAAAATCCTTAACATTTATTAGACCTCAACCAATACACAACAATATCAAAATTGGTTTAGACGTCTGATAACGAACCCACACATTGCTACCATAGGCGATCCTGTCAAATAGCTTGGAATATTTTTCAAATGAACATATGACATAGACGAAGCACCGGATAGACGCTAAGTAAATACTTAATACTAAATTAGATGACAAAGTCGTAATAACGAGAAATATATTTATTAAGGATTTTCAATAATTGACAGTAAGCTATATAAACTACAACGCTTATCAAACTCTTTTGTAAGCTACTGCATGCATATATTGGCACAAATCCAAAGAAAACACTCCCGTAGCACCTGTATTTATAAGTACAATAACCGATACAAAACTTTGAAAACGTAGTTATGTTCTTGACCTTGTAAAGCCATCGATCTGTGACGCGTGTAATCTATGACACTGGAAATCATATAAATCATCTGTTTCACTAATGACACTATGCATCTGCTGACATAACTGTTAATTATCATTTAATTGACGTATATTTAATCTGTGGTTTTAAAGTTATGCGAACAGATATACTATAGAATTTAAATACAGAACTGTCATTTAGTACACAACAGATAGTCAACTGTCTTACTTATTAAAAAATTACTATCGAAATATATTTATCTTTGTTAATTTGTTTTTATTACAAATGAACTATCACAAAAGAGTCATTTCTTAAGTAACGTGACTCTTCTATAAGTCCAAAAGTAAATTTACAAATAACTTCGCTTAGGAGCAACTGAAACCATTTTCTTAAGTACAAAATTACTATCCACAAAACCATACATTTTTATAGTCTAATATATAATCTATGGAATAAGTGTCTATCTGTTCGCATCGCTATTAAATATTTCTTATCTATGGTCATGCTTGGAATGAAGATTGTTAAAATGATTTAGGAGGAACGGAGCCTCGCGCGATGCGATGCGAGGTGTGGATTCTGAAGCTCACAATTTTCAAGAGTACACTTACAAGAAAATCACACCCTGTGACGTCTGCTCGCAAGTCCTACGAGGTAAGGGCATCATTTTGCTTACAAAACATACATGATCTTTTTTGTGTATAGTCTACGTTGGTAGTACAAATTTAAATATAACTCTTAACGGTTTAAAACTTGAAATATATTTGTTATCTGAAATTTACTTTAACTACGGCTCCTTGTTCGCCCTTGACCAGGGCTACTTCAAAGCATCCAAAAGTTTCGGGCCGTTGTTAAAATACATTGTAGATACTACATACTACAGAACGTATACTTACTCACTACTGCTAAATAGTTTTGTTCGCGTTTTGAACCGTTAAAAGTTTATTAAAATGTATGATTTTTTTTTACATTTAAGGTGATTTTTATAAGTATTGATCTTACAAACATAATTTATATCTCAAGAAAAAGTGTGTACAGTAGGTACAAGAATACTCTTATATGTATATGTATGTTTATACATATGACAGAAATTGTTCTCTTGAAACAAAGTGTTTTAGGTCCTTATATACCGCTTAAGTTACGATAGGATACTTTTTATAAAGTTAAATCCGGTTCTTAGGTGGGGTATGAGGCGAACACATTTCTGTGTCTGTTACTTTAATGGGTTTTAAGTACAGGCAAGTTATTGAGCAGACTCTGTTCCCTGCCCGACCGATACTATTTATTGTTTCTTCGAGATTCGCACCCAGAACTTCTCCCGTTTCACGCAATGCTAGGCAACACGTTTAACCATTTAGCTCCGATGGAGGAACCGATTACACAATGACTAACTTATTAATCAAAAATTACTGCTGACTACGGCTGCTGCAAAGCATCCGAAACGTCGGGCCGAAGTTAAAAATCATTTCCAAATAAGTTTAACTAATATATCGCGTTTTAAACCGTTAAAGTGTTATATTTAAATGTGTACTACTCGCGTAAACTATAAACAGTGTCAATGACATATTTTGTATATACTTATAAAGTCCATATCTCTTTGGGTTTAAAGACTTATTTCTCATTGAGATTTTAAAACACTTACATGAGAAACTTTTGACTATTTAAAAACTCTTTTATATAATTTATAGTCTTATATTTTAACGTGACTTGACTGCTCATTGCGGTACACTGGGTTTGTTTACTTTATAAGCTAATAGGATTTGACCGCAGCTTTGCAATGTTAAATGCTATCTATAAAATTACAAAGAAAAAAATTTTGTACAGCTTATACATCTTTTATGACGGTTAAACAAAACGACATGTAGAATAAAGAACAATTTAATTCTTTCGACGCCTCCGTAGCATAAAATTAAAGTCTGGGCATGGTGTAGATTCGAATTCCGAAGAAACGATTGTTGCGACCAGACTTCCCGCCTGATGATAGAAGTCACATGAATTACAGTCAGGTCGGACAGAGGAATGTGTCCGTTCTGACCCCCTAGAAATATATATTGACCCCTTAGAGATACGAAATATCATTCAATGACAGTTTATATAAAACATTAATACATAGTAATATACACTTGAATTTTCAAAAAAGTTTAACTCATATATATCGTGTTTTAAACCGTTCAAGTGTAACCACTCGCGTAAACCACAGATAGTATTTAAATGTAAAAGTAATAAATAAAATCCCCCAAATTGATATTCAGTGATAATTTGTATCGCTTACGAAATCGGCAATTCCTCAAAACTCGCTCGTTTTCTTCGGTGACTTGTAAATTTTCCAATAGAACAGAACAATCCCAATGCTTTCGGGTCAACGCTTTTGTAGGCCGTTCAAACTATGCGACTAACATAATGAAAGAGTTTACAATTAATAGCTAAGCCTCGAATATTTTAATGACACTTTGATCTACATTTCTTTAGGGCTTCAGTTTTGTTTCAAAGGACGAAAACAAAGTCGGTTCAGGATAATTAAATCGTCTTATTACATCGCTTTAGGCATCCTGTAATGAATTGTTACGAAATAGATCTTTCATTTTACCTTCCAAGCTTAGCGTCGGTACTCTAAGAGAGCGTTGTGTAAATTAATTATTTGTTTTACTCTAACAAGCAGGAAATATTTATTTACTCATATTCTTCCTCTTTACACTCGTAATTGGGTGGGTAAATAAACAATTTCCTTATCGTTTTAAGTTAGGCTACAGTTGTTTTTTCTGGTTCTTTTTATCACATTACATGTAACAATTTTGTCGTGCAAAGTTACGATCTATGTACGTTTCAATCTTGTCACGATGAGAGAGCAGAGAAACATGGGGCCCTCTTGATCGTAGCTATTTACCATCTAAATAAGATGTGCTGTCAACCAATATTGTCTGTGGATATTCGGGAATCCATTGACTGGAATGGAATCAATCTGTTTAATCTGTCAAATTTCACCCAGTTTCGATATTCCTACCCCCCATTTAATATCCATATTTTCAGACCAAGTCAAACGTATTTGAGAAAAACTATTAGTTGATTAAATACTGTCTATGGTTTACGCGAGTAGTACACATTTAAATAAAACACTTTAACGGTTTAAAACGCGATATATTAGTTAAACTTATTTGGCCTTAATCGGAAACGACGGGCCGAAGTTAAAAATCATTTTCAAATAAGTTTAACTAATATATCGCGTTTTAAACCGTTAAAGTGTTTTATTTAAATATTAGTTGATTAGTAAAATGTTGGATAGGGATCGAACCCACAGCTACGGTTGTTAGCCATAAATTGCTAATATTACACCAACGTGCCCGACAAGAAGGTAGCTTTTTAGAAGTACAATACGTTTATTCATATTATATTGAAGCTTGGATGTCTTAAAAAGCATGAGGCGAACATGTGACTTTCTTTAAACGAAGTTAGATTACTAATTTCTGTAGACTGATAATAATATTACGAATTGATGTTTATTGTATTTGCTAACTGCGGATAGAAATATAGTCTAATAAAAATACAATATTTAATAGATATATTTTTCAGGCCACACTCGTCAAGGGCTCCGATGCCGAATGTGTAAGATGAACGTGCACACAGACTGTATGCCTCAGGTCGGGAAATGTCAAACTAAATCTCGACTCCTGCGCCGGCAGAAGAGCACCTCAGAGATTGAGGCTCACAGGGTTCAAGATCCAGGGTATGATGAAGAAAGTAAGTATTCTTCGTATTACTCGAGTAGAACTGAGACTCATTATTTAAAGTCAAGTACAATCAGTAGCTGATTTCATTTATTACTAAAAATTATCTACTACAAAGGTGACGTCATAGTCTTATTATAATATATAGTAATAGTTACAAGTTGTATCAAATAATGTTAGATTAAATTTAGTACTCGATAAATACACACTACCTAAATTAGATTCGGATGATTTTGTAGTACAAAGACGTTTCTATCTTAATTGACATAGCCCACCTGAAACAACAAGCTGAGGCATGGAATAACTTTGCATATGTTTACTCGTCCTTTTTTTCAGGATTACGTACAGGGATTACTGAAATATATTTGTTTTTGAAACTTAGCAGTCGTCGCGCACGTTTATTTACCATATACACGAGCTTGTACACACCACGCATTACAATATATCAACACTACTTTATATTCGCCCTGTTCAGGAGGGGATAGCGGGTGGCTGCGCGGACAGAGGCTAGCAATGTGTTTCAAAAGATCAGTCAATATCGATGATGGTTTTGATGGCTACTACGAGGGTATGAACGAGTTAGGAGTGACCCCTGATCCCGTGCCTTCGAACTCACACAAATCGCGTTACAATCCTCATGAGCATATCACTAACTTACTCGTCGGATGCGTCATGATCACAATTGACTAATCTATAATAGAATTCTAAAGCATTCGCACCCGGCGAGCGTTCACAAACGGTATGCGTATTTGAGTTCGCGTCGGAATTAACCTTTCGATCGGTGCCCAGAGGAGGAAGTGGATCAGACGTATCAAGTACTGAAGCGCGCCAACGAAATTGCGAAGCCGGGCGGGGGGCCCGTAGTGCGCGTGTCGGCGCCCGAGGAGCCCCCGCCGACGCGCTCTCCGGCGCGCCCCTCCACCGGCCTGGCTGTGGCGCCCCAACAGATCTCCTCCAGCTCAGGTCTGGTGCCGCACCTGGGCGTACGCTTCTCCGCTCGATCGCGTAGGCCGCCGACTGTGGCTCGGCGTCACCGAGCGACGGCCGACCGGCAGCTTCATTAAGACCACTCGTTTTCAGTAGTGTCGAGTTGTTTGCACGCCTTAAGTGTCGGGCGCAGGGCGGGGTGCGTCGGTGCTCAATAGTGCTTGTCGGTAGGCGCGGCGTCGAAGAGCGACGGCGGAGTGCGGCGGCGCCTCTTCGCCGGCGTCAAGAGTTTGTCCATGTGGGGGTCCAAGTCGCGTCGCGGTTCACCACAGCATCGGTCCATTTCTCTGCCGGAAAGTACGAGCGCACGGCTGCCGTAGCGCATCGCTGTCTCACCGCCTCTGAGCTTTGTCCGTCCCGTCTTCTGGTTCACAGTGCCTCGGTTGACTTTATCATTAATTTCGCTCGTTTTGGTTTTATTTTTAGTTAATTATGCAACGATGTGTTTAGTTTAGATTTAGGCGACTAGTAACTGTTCTACAAACACTAATAGATGCTTGCTTCCGTGCTCCCGATGTGACTCCCGTGTTCGTTATCGATGTGACGTAAAGTCTCGCTGCCTTCCTACCCGTTTTTATTTGTTTTATGTTATTTTTTATTTATTTTGTTTTGTTCATACCTCCTTGCAGAATCGGAAGAAACTACATCGCGACCTTTCGGACAGCCATTGTGCATAACGAACGAAAATGGTGATCCCCCGCCTTCGATCCTAAAGCCCACGGCCAGTGTTCGCAAGAAAAAATGAAGTGTAGCAATCGATCCCTTAGAATGAGGTCATTTGAGTCGTACAAGACACTGTTTACGTTCTGGAGAACTCTGCGTTCACCCGCTCCACTCATTGGATGTCCCATATAGCACCCGAAACGCCCCGCGTTCTGTGATATGTAAATTATTATTGTTACAATAAAACGTGAAAATGAGCCGCTTTATTTTTCCTGGGTCTACCACTGATCGCACTTTGCATTACAATAAAGAACGCATTTCTCTTCGGCCGCAAAGTAAGTGGTGCATGGCTTGGCGAGTCATATTAATCCGCATGTCTTTTAATATAACTCTACGTGACAAATCGGTCCTATTTTATAACTACGCACGTGATTCTACTGACTCCAATAACCTTTTTCTGAACACACTAACCTTTGCGTTATTAACACACTTAGCAAAAATTAAGAACACAAATTTGACATTGGTTTTGTGTTTCACTTTTCGCTTTTGCTCAAATTCTTTGGGATGCATTCCAGGGCAACGCCGCGGCGATAGATTTAAAAATAGTAATATAGACTCGTGCCTATTTACTTTGTCCATACAGGTTCGATGAGGAACTCGAAGAGTGCCCAAATGTTAAGGCAAGCAGACCGCGCCAGTCCCTTACCTGGTATTACTTGTGACCTAACTGAACCCCAGTAGCGATAAAATATTTTAAACTATTCTCAGAGACCTCTTTACTCGCCTTTGCAAAAACACTACTGTGGGCGAGTTGCATCATTCGACCATTACCTTTAGTTCTGCATCACGTTGATCACTTTCATTCTATTGGAGTCACTTGTATGCGTAGATTACGGTAGATATGATACTCTATTTCTCTCTCCTCGAAAAGTTATATTCTTTTGATAACTGTATGCTATGGAATGTTTAAATTTTTTATCCTTTTTTTGCAATGCTTCTGCTTTCGCAATATTTGTTGTTAATTCGATGTTTAGAGTCTAAGTTGGGGAACTATTTGAAACGTTCAAAGTTTCAAAATGTTTCTTCTCATCCATAATCAAATTGATAATATTAAATCACTGCCTATCACGATTATAGGTACCTAATCATTCACAATTGCAATTTTTAATTAATTTTTATCAAATAAAAGTTTTGGAGATATTTTTATTTGTTCATGTTCATTACTAAAATTCACTTCGGTGATAGGTAAGTGTCACATGCTCATTGTAACTGACTGTTATAGCGCCACATTCACCGCGACGCCAAAAGTTGAATCTTAGGATGAAGAGCCTGTCCTTGGACTCGCCGGAGTGTGGGGAACTGAGGCGAAGACCAGCGCGTGACCAACCATCACAGGGCAGCAGAGTTCTATGTACGATTACTTTAAGTACAATACGGATCCAAAAAACTCGACTCACATTCTTTACTTCAATGTTTTGAATAAGAGGACGTACAAAGATCTCATACATCAATTACAAAAAACCTGAGGTCCTTATGTTATAATCTAAATCTACTGAAATGTGAATCAACTGTAAATCATTAATGGCCTGAATTTTTAATTAGATCCGTTTACAATGTTTTTATTGAGACAAGAATGTACAAGTCTTTATTCTTAGCATTTTTACAACACCAACTAATAGTAGTGTTCGCCTATGGTAATACATTTTATAACACACATAATAATTGCCTGCAGCACACTTTTTATTTAACATAACATGTTTAACATATAAACCTTTAACTCCTTGGATTTAAAAGAATGAATTGACCAACTTATTTGAGATATAGCAACAATAATTCGTTGGTATTTATGGCAACACGACGCTGGCATCGGTTCAGTTGTCTAAACCTACTTTATGTGATGCAAACTGCACGAACGATACATCTATAACTACCCTCAAATACAGCACATTGTATATTGAGTCAGTTTTTTGGAAGCCGCTTCTAATTTCTCTTCCCAGATGTCGTATAAGCACAATCGATGTGAACCCTTACTCCAGCTTAGCTTGTCTACTCTAGCCAATAAGTGTGGTGTGCTTTCGACGTCGTTTAAGGTTATTGACCTGCTGTTTACGACTTTTGTCAACTAATTTCTTGTTAGAGTGAACGCGTTCGGAATCCTACATTGCGCCAACGGTTTGTAAGTTCTGTTCTGTTCTTTTGCATGCTCTTTAATTTCTTTTTCTTTTCTAGATAACAGCAGAAGCATGCGTTGTGGTTCTTTGAGAGTAAATAGCCACGCTGTAAATAACTCGCAATCATGTATGTTCCATTTAAATAGTTAGCTATACCCGCTGTTAAACGCTGTATCAAGAAATATTATAACTTTACTCCGTAAGAGGATATCGAAGGGATGGTTTTCCACTTGCTAGACAATACCTAGTTTGACCACACACACTTGGCAACGATAGTAACCAGAAGACATTTCTCTTCCTAAATAGTTCTCTATACGATCTTAATAAGCGATAATTTTTACTGTTTTTAGTATTATTATATCTTATATACAAGTAGATACTGCCTTTTGTAGCGGGATCTATATAAACAAAGTTGGCAGCAATAAATAGTATTGAGGTTGATAAACATCATCAAAATTATTTAAACTTAAAAATCTATAGTCGAAAACAAATTACGGCACGGGCCTGACTTGAATCAGTATCCACAGCATTTCGTGCTGTTGCTCTAACCAATTGACCTATCGAGTCTTACACCTCTCATGCAGTGCAATTAAAATAACACTTGCGTATTATATAAGGAATATCCCACTAAATTTTTATTAATGATACCTCTATCTATTTATCCGCCGACCCTGTTTTCTATAGATAAGTTGTAGAACTTATAGCCTTAGTACTTAGCACTGCTTTTATGAAACGCTTTTAATACCTAAATAGTTCAATGGCGAACCCCAGTTTCAAAGTTATTCAACAAACGTTATATTTAATTGCTGAAATTAAGAGGGAAAAGGTTAATTCAGTTGGTATCGAGTTCTGAAATAATTGGGCCGTAGTGATTACAGCGGCCGATAAAAGTTCTTAAACATTTGACTTTGCAAGACCTTGAGTCTGTCTTTCGTAGAACTAAAATCACATTTGACTTGCGCAGTACTCGAGTTTAAAGATACTAGACAGCAAAAATACTAACTCGTGCAAACTAATTGTGTACCTATTTTGTATCGCAGACTCAATATACGCTATTGGTCACGACTCTTAGACCTTAGTAGACAAAAAGTCAATATTAGCAAGTACTAAAGGGTTCGACTCCCTAATTTATAAAAACATGAAAGAATATTGTATAAATGTATGCCGAGTTAAAGATGTGTTAACGGGTATTATAAGTTCTACTATATCTATGCATATGATACAGCACCATCTTCACCGGTGCACAGCCGTCGTCTTCTGAACACCCGAGTGGGTCGCATGAGCAGCGTGGAACTGCCAGATGAGCCAGACAAGAGCTTGTCATCCAATAGCGCCAGTCCATGTCCGTCTCCAGTCAAGCAACCGACGGTAAGTACCGTCAGAAGGACCCACTATAGATAAAAACATCCATAGCTATAAAAACAAAAATAGCTATAAAGATCTATACTAATTATAAAGCTAAAGAATTCAAAAATTACTGGTTAGAATTGAAAAATGTTTTGTTGGTTTAAGAGCCATTAATCGAAGAAGGTTATATAATATCAGGCTGCAACCAATAGAAGCGAAGAAGGAGACGGGAATATAGAAAAAAAGGCGAAATGTTATCTTTGGGGGCTTCCGTAACGTTCGCAAAAACAGTTAAAGAAGACAAACAAGTATGAAAGAATGATTCTTCTTTAAATTATCTTTAAAAAAAATCTGCCACGGGACGCGGACGACGTCGTGGGTAACACATTATATAAGTCTTTACTTTTACACTTTGAATAACATTACGTACTAATATATTTTTCAATTCTTGTTATATTCAATTATTTCGACGTTCTTAATTGGAATATGGTATATAATAAAAATATTTAAAAAACGCAGACTGGTTTTGAACCCACGACCAGCGTAACGTGCCATTGCGCTTCCCAACTGACTTGTAAACATCTTTAATCTTTCTACGTCAATTTGTCTGTATCAAGGTTTGAAGTTCTTCCATATCTTTTCAGAAGCACCAACGGCTTCTACCAACAAATTTGTACGTGATCCTCTACAATTTCAAATCACGTCATGCTGATGAGCTGGATCTGAAAGCTGGTTACAAGGTGACCGTTATCGACACTTCTGACCCAGACTGGTGGAAGGGAAAGTGTCTCGGAAAAGTTGGATACTTTCCATCAAAGTATTGCACTAAGCTGCAAGCTGGCGAACGACCTCTTCAAGTTACACACAACTTACAAGTAAGAATGGCTTAAAGCTAGTATCGAAATATAAAGATAATAATAATAACAATGAGGCGAACACATTTCTGTGTCCGTTGTGATCTGATCGTGTTTATTTGTATAGTTGATCAGGCTGCCGTTGCCCGACAGAAACAATGTATTGTTTCGCCGGGATTCGAATCCAGGACCTCTCGCACTTAACGAACTATTAGGCAACACATTTAACTTTTTAGCTACAGAGGCCAGTGATCCCTGTTGCCTGTCTGACATATTTGTATTGTCATCGCACGTGTACTCTATTTAAACCACGTAGTCAGTGTATTGATTTAAAATAAATCTTTTCGACTTTAATTTTTATTCCATCCAGTCCCTATACAATTTTCAAAACCGAAGCATGCATTCAAATTACAATTGGTAAACCACCAACGAAAAAAGTTAATTTAATTGCTTAGAATAAGAATTTTAATATATATTATATAGACATTAAACATATTTCGTTGTTACAAAACGTCTTGGTTAGTAAGTCTACTTATATATTGATAAGTCTATGTGACAAAATATTTGTTTATTCGTATCATAAATTACGTAAGAAGGCATATAAAAAACACCTTAAATATATCCCTTGCCAATGAAGTCTCATTTATACATTCCTATCTTATTATAATTTCTTATGAACAAACTTAGCTTCGCCAAAATAATGAATAAAAACCCTCATTCCAGGTTTCTGACGGTGACAACGGTCTCATGCTACTCCGTGACCAGATCGTAATTCAAGTTGGTGATGAGGTGGACGGCATGGTCATGATCAGATCCGGTGACAACCGCCAGGGCGTGTGTCCTGTTAAGTTCCTACAGGAAGTGTGACGCTTTAAATTGCCCAATTTTAATGTCCTTCGAGTGAGTCACTTATACTCGTAAAAATTCATTTTGGCACTTGTTGTTGCCAATAATTATCCCAATATTATTTTTACTTTAAATATCACAGATGTGATTTGTGTGATATAATAAAAGAGAACAGACAAGCATAGGATTTACTTGATGGTAGGTAAAATACCCGGCCATTTAACATGTAAACAAGACTATGCTGTTGACCTATTTTGTCTTTGGATATTCAGAAGATGAATATCATTGTAATAACTGATAATGCGTTTTTAGGATTACCAAAAAAAAAAAATAAAGTTTCAAAAAAATACTTACTTCTTTATCCAAATTCACAGCGACGCAGCTCACTATCAAACGAACCTCGCACGTACTTAGCACCGCAACCATCACGCAGCGCCCCGGTCACACCATGCGACAGCGACACCTCCTGGCCATACGTGGAGTACGATCGGAGATCTGAAAAGGAAAGATACGAGGCATCCGTCGAAGGCGTCTGGTGGTGGAAACGGCCACTAGGCGTCAGGCGTCAGACCTGCAGACGGTGCGGTGCCTCTTCATCTTCACGGCCGCTCCAAATGGTTCCTTGCACCTCACCGCAAGACGAGTACGAATATGACTACCGCAGACCTGCCTCCGATGAACGACCATTAAATCTCGTCAGGCAGTTATATCTTTAAACGGTTATTCTTCAGTTGTCCTTGAATTGTTATTTTTCTTTCTATAATCTATGGTCCAAGGTTGACTTTTCGATTTACTTACGTCGGTCGAAACGAAATCTAGCCCGGATTCAGCCTTTACTTTAAAATGTTATTTAAAAAATTATAGAGTTATTTGTTTTGACAATTTTTCATACAAATATTTTTAGTGATTTATGCGAAAAAAAAAACTATGTAGGTACTAATGAATTTTTCCTTCAATAATTATAACGATAATGACGTTTCTTTAACTATACAATAGTTATTTAGCGCAATTAATTACTTAAAATTATGGCCTATAATTTCATAAACAGTCCTTCCATGCCTAGAATTTATTTAATGAAATGTATATTATATTGTTTATAAATTTTCGTATTACGTTTTATATAGATAAGTATTACGCGTGCTAAACTATTAATATACAACATATCATCTTTATATACAAATCGAGATAATTTTATTCAATATTTATAACATTTAAAAAGCTTTTATATGTACCTATTTTAGTTGTATTGAATAGGTATATGCGAATTTGGTTAATACTATGTACGCGTTACTTTATAATAATGATATACTCTTTTTTAACAAATAACCTTGATAATTGTTTATAAAACATGAATTATTATAAGCACGTATATAATTTTATTATTTGTAGTTATAGTTAGTGTAGTAGTGGTTATAGGTAAAAGATAAATGATTCCCGAGTTAGGCAACCTAGAAATGTTGTAGTATACTAAAGAACCTTTGATGGCAGAAACAAATAGTTTACTTGCTTTAAATAGTTATTCACTTACACTTACATTCGTTGTTAGCTTTAACAGATTTAGAAGTGTACTACAATATATCCATTAAAAGCTTTATTTGCGTTTATGTGCCGGTATAGTATAGTAAATGTAGTATTTAAAACGTTTCGACGTTGAAAAAAACGAATCTGGCATTTGTTATACAATATATTTTACATTTTTGTAAATTCATTTATGTTATTGAGAGCGTAGGTACAGAAGTTCAATGCACCCAGGTCTTAATAATTATTTAGTGATATTATAATCCAGAGATTACTGACATAGATACTTACTTATCAACAGGCATATAATGAAGTGTACATGGACCAACTTAAATGCATTGCCTAACGGAACTATTTTTATAAAAAAATACTGTTTTATTCCGGTTACTTTATTTGTCAATTTATTTGCGAAACTCGTAAGCACTGCGGGAAATAAAATGACATAATATGCACTCAGTATTAAATTTTAACATTTAATTTGACGTATATTTTGTTAAACATTCAAATTATATCAAATACTTCCTAAATAAATGATAACTAAAGAAATCTGTTCCAAATTTAAAAAATAAAATGCGACATGCTGGACACTTACACCGGTAATAACTATATAAAAAAAAAACAATATATTTTTGGTATAACGTCTGTGGAAAATCGTTTTTATATCTTTCCTTTATCTGTCTTCATACTATCTCGTTATGTTATTGTTTTAAAATGCGTTATTTTTTTCTTACCCTTAGGAATTCTTTTTTCGGCGCATTTAAACCGTCCCCTTAAAAAATTAGGTACGAAATACAATTTAAAATAATGTTATATTGAATTAGACTATTATAACAGAGTAATAAGATACAATGTAGAAATTTATAATAATGAAAATGTTAGGCGTATTCCTTTCAAGCTTACTATAAATTACTTATATAATAACAAAGTTGTTTTTACAATGATATTTATTATTTATCAAATAGATAGTAATAAGTTTATAATTAATAGTATTGGCTCAAGGTATAGGATTTCAAACATGATTGCGTTTCAAAATATCTTTATTAAGCTTAAAACTATAACTTATTCGAAATTAGGTTAACCCTAAAAGAACCAAGAATTATATGTATGTTATTAATATATTAGAGTTTAGGCGTATCATATAACATCCTAGAGAATGCTTAAGCCTCAGAGGTGAAGTCATGTGGGTAATTAAATGTGATGAAGTTATGTTTAGGTAAAAGCGTAATTATTGCAGGGGCACATGTTGTAGGTACGTACCATATTATCCGCCATTTTGTTATTTTAATTACGCAGTAGACAATTATTTAAGATTTCAGTGGATTGTTGTTACAGCCTTCGGGGGTCTGTCACCCGCATATCTTATATTTTACAGTATGTAATTTTCGCGGGTAGTACACATTTGGAATAAGACTTTAAATGGTTTAATTGTGAAATATACTAGTCAACTTATTTTTAAAAGTTTAAATGCGCTTTGGACTTTTTGGTTTGGAAAACATGTTCTGTCGTAATTTATGGAATCAAATACCATCAATTATAGACTTCACATTATGTGCAATTAGTTAACAACAATCGACTGAAATTTGCCAATTTTCTCCAATAGAAATGAGTATGTTCCCTCACCCGTAATAAATAATTAGTAATTATAACAAATAAGGATTTCAAATATTAAGGAGTAGACATCTACTGCGTTATTTTATTTAAATGTTAAATATTTGTGTTAGATTTAAATAAATAATCAATTACAATATGGATTCTTATTTCTGTTTTTATTTAAAAGTTATTTATAAAAATTGGATACAATAAAATAATAAAGAATTCCCACATTATCCTTTGCGAGTGAACCACTCATATTTAGTACTAGCTGTGTCAGCGACTTCGTCCGTGTAGAATAGTTGTTTTGGGCATCCAAATTTTCTTTTGCAAACCGCGTCCCGTAGTTCTTGCAGCGTACGCATCAGAAAACTACAAAGATGAAAAATTTCCCCCGTTTTGTTCCCATTTCCGGCTGTAACTTCGCTTCTATTAGTCTCAGCGCGATGTTTTATATATATGTATATGTTCAATTCGAACGCGTAGTTTCTGAGATTAGCGCGTTCGAATAAACAAACAAACTCTTCAGTTTTATGTTTTAGTATAGATAAAACTAATTCTGATTACTAATATTTGTCTGATCATAATAAGAAAATATAATATTTAAATACTTGAGTTAAGCGCCATCTCTTTAAAAAATAATGTAATGCTTATATTTTTGCATTTAACTAAAGTTTTTAAGGATTTTACTAGATGTCGTGTTTTTCAATTAATTATTTAATTTAGGACATTTCCTAAGAACCCGGGATGTTTAAAATGTTTATACCAAACCATAAAAACTTTGAGTAAATAGATTCTTCTGAAATTAATAATAAAATAATAACGCGTGTTACTATTACCTCATCCGTCATTTACGCAAAAAATGTTGGTTATAATACAATTATCGACGACTCTAGCGGCATGGACTATAAATTCACACGTCTTTGTATGAACAAAGTCCCCACCCGTCACACAACACGGTTTCTGATCTTGAATTGAGGGAGAAATAATAATAAGTAGGTACTAAGAAATAAGAATGGTGACCATCGCACCGCGACTGGCGACCCTACTTTTCACCTCCGAGTGTCGATAACCCTACAGCAGACCCGGCCTACCATCACGCCTGCGCGACGCAGCTCTCGAAGGCGCCATTAACCTGGACGCATTCCGACAGTTCGCAAACGTGTCGCGGAACTTTCTTAAATCAAATCCCATCGACAATAACTTTGAAAACTTGTTATTTCGCACACAAATAATCGATTTTAAATTTCAATTATATTTAATAACCATTATATCTAACTTTGTAAATCAAACCGTCTCAATATTGAGCACTCCAGTGCCGCCGTCCGCGCGTTCGGCATTCCGTAAGTTAGATGGCAGCACTAAAAATATTTAACATACCGCGAATTCCAACCATCGTGGGCTCGGCTCAAATGTCAAACTCGACTATTTCGTCAACAGTGTCGTGGCGCGATAGTTGTATATTATAAAATAACAAAACAAATAACAACAGTGTTTATTAGATGATGGATTAGAAAATAACTGAGTTGTTAGAGTTAAATACATCGAACGGGCCTATTGAATTAATCGTTGAGGTTGCTTAAGCTCGGAGGGTTTTTTGCGAGTCGTTTCTTATTGATTTTCGTACTTCGCCGGTGTTATATTGTTATGTTATGAATCGGGACAGTTTTAACGAATAAATAAGTTTTACATTTGAAAAGGCATCAGTGAGCAAACAATTCAAGAATTATTGTCGTAGTGGTAAACATAACTTTACGTGTTACAATTATAACTACTCAACGTGGGAATTTTGATGTAAGTATTGTTTTACTTCCTTAGAAAATAATTTCGTCATAAATAGGATATATAATATCTGAATAATATTTAATTTAGTATGGACTATACGCTCAATGGGTCAAACTCATTTATTGCAAAAGTAAAGCATCATAATAATGGTACTAAGCAAAGAATTTTTGCGATCTTCACTAAGTAGGAACGAACTTCGCATGTTTATAGTTTATATTTATTTTTTAATATATATATATATATATATTAGTACATTTTAGTAACGTAAAAATATTTTGTCATAATCAACAGCGATCCAAAACCACGTGATTTTGAAGAATGACACTTATAATAATGTCAGTTAGGTCGCAATTAAGCAACGACCCGTTTCTTGGGGCGGTCCTTGTTTAATTATCTCCAAGTGTTTGTTGGTGGCATAATTAGATAAAAATACCATAAATCGGCCATCAACACATTAATTAACTAAGTAGCCAAACCGTCTATAGAATTGTAATGTATATACTAACTAACAATTATATGCAAAAGACACATTTAACTGAGAAATGGGGCCGCTAGAGGCAGAGTAGCCTAACTGCAATTTTATGTCTTGTCTAAAAATGTTAAGACCACAGTTACCGAAAATTTTTAACATAATTCTTACACAAATAATTGATTTTCCTTATTGAAAATCATGTTTATTGCCTCAAATTATTTTAAGTAAAGTGATTCAATGTAACAAAAACAAAGTCTTCTCTATTGATTAGTGATACTTTAAAAAAATCTTCGAGCCCCCATTTACATGTTTAAAGCAATGGTTCTGAAGATACTCTGTTGGTAGTTCGAT